TTTGAAATTCTTGCAGCTACTGCATTAATACAGTTGTTGTGTGTCAGGTTAATTTGATTAAAAGGAAGAGAGTAACTAATCAACAGAGCACTTCCACCATATCCATCAGCTCTGTCATCCCGGAGACAAGAGTACCCTGAAACACCAAAGGTGTTACCAGGCACCAACCATGTCTCCGATAAGGCAAGAATGAACGGAGAGAACTTATTAATGAGATAATTTAATTCGTAAGTTTTGGGTACTATACTACAACAATTCCACTGAATTATCTTCGCCATTTTTATTATTGTAAATAAATTTATTAAGTTGACTTATTCTATGTGCAACGTTGGACGGTATAGGAATATCATCAAACCTGTTAAGAAGGCTGAAAACAAAGGACAAAAGGGCATCTAACAAGTTATCATTGGGGGTGGTTTCAGAGAGGATAGTTGAGTTATCATTGTTAAGGGCATAACCATTAGGGAGCGAAGATGGGCAGTTTTGGACAATAGCCTGATGAGCTATTCTATCAAATCCAATATTTGAAGGAGCTCTAGGTTTGGGGGATTTGGTAACCAATTTTTTATATGAGGATGAAGGACTTAAGGCCTTGGGAGAGGATTGGAGTTGAGGAAGGGATGTAGCTTGGGTTGGAGATTGGACGACATCAGCATAAGATCTCCTTACCGAGGGGAATCTTTCTGATGCCTCTTGGTAGGATATGTTGTCTTGAGACATTGATATTTTAATAGATCTTTGCCTAGAATGTTCTGGACAGTTCTTATTAGATGCAAAGTGGCATCCTGAGCAGTAAAGGCAGGTTGCCTTTGATTCTTCTACCATACAAGACTGACCTGAGTGTGGTTGTGCACAGCGGAAGCAACGTGGCTTGGATCGACATTGGGGTTTAATATGTCCGAACCTGCAGCAGTTCATGCATTGAATAGTTGGGAGTTGGTATGTCTCTACTGCCAAGGATGTATGATATACAAATATTCTATTAGGGAGAACCTGCCCTTGGAATGTGAGAACAACTGTTTGTGTGGGGACCCAGGATACTTGCCCTTCAGAGATTGACTTTCTGTTAAGTCGTCTTGCTTTCAGAACCACTCCACAGTTAACGGGAACAACTAAAGAATCTACAAACTCTTCCATTGATAAGTCCGAGGGAACACCTTTAACGATGCCCATGCGAGTAATGTTGTAGTTGGGAATTGTAGCACTGTATTTATATATTGATAAAAAAGGGTTTTTCAAGAATTGATTAGCGTCAGTGTTGGTTTTGAATTCCACAGATATCCTGTTACGACCTATCTTTTTTATACCGTCATTCAATATGTTTTCAACTTTGTTTTTAACTAAAAATTGCCCGAATTTGATAGGGTGAATAGATGTGCCAGATGAAAGATCTGTCTCAATTTTAGAAACATGTATAATGAATGGTCCCTTATCACTGTTTAAATATTGTTTATTTGACTGATTTAAAAAGGGATGGGTGTATATGCCAGGAGAGGGGTCTAATGTGTCCGACTGACAGGACTCAGTAATTATTCTTTTAGAAGGCGCGTCGTTTACCTCGGGTTCAGTATCATTACGTCGTTTGAGGCTAGTCTGGGTAAATAAAGGAGGTGAAAGTTCCATTGATGAATAATGCGTCGGAGACCGGTCCGGTGGATCCGGTGGATCCGGAGGGGTCCTTTCCATGATTACTTTGTAATCAATGGAAAGGACAGGAGAACAAATAAATAGGTACTTACCAACACCTTATGTTAGGACAAAACACAAACACTTAATTATATCGCAGTTCCGCGTAGAAAGAAGGCTTAAAATTAACAAAACAAACGAAATCCCTTAAACACGTGTAATAACAAACACTAATGAGGGCAGAATCATTACTTATGATAAAGGGCTGGTAAGTTTCTTTCGCTTGTTCTTCTTGTCAGCTAAAAGACGTCCTGAACAAGTGGTAGGGGAAAAAAAATTTTTGGACGATTCAAAAGTGATTCAATAGCCTATTCGAATAAAGATTCATTTCATTTCATAATAACTAATATGATCATTACAATAATAAATTGATCATAGCCATGTTTGTTTTATTTTATTATTTTAAGTTTTATATCTGTAATAATAATAGTACCTACATTTTTAATTGCAACGACTGGACAATAAGGAATCGCTGGTCAAGTATGAGTTTGAAAGCCGTGACAAAAAAGTTTGAAGACAGACACAAAAGCGATAAGTACGTACAAACGTCAATCTACATATAAAGTCACATCCGTTTGAGACATGCGTCTATAAACTTATGTGCAAATATGGAGCAACAAAAAAACTGATAAAAGCTGTTCTGTGGGCGGTTCTTTAAAGTGGCTATCTTAACTCGATTTCTATAATAATGGTTTCCGATTATGAATCAGCATAATAAAGTAAATTAAATTGACGCCTATAAATTAATTTTGTAAATTAAATTCACACCACCAACAATATTACGTTAGTTGAAAACATGATTTTTTGTTTGTATAGATATTATGTTGTTTTGAAATTCATTTGATAGGTTTAGGTCTAAAACGGATAGGACAAAATAAATTATGTAAACAGGGCAATCCGTTGTAAAATTATTAGGGAAACTGAAATATAAGTAATGCAAAATAAGTGAAATCCAGTTTCACCAGTTTCTAATAAGACCTATTAGGCCAACACTCTTAGCTTTTCACGAAGTTTCGTTGGATTTATATATTATTCATAAAACGTTGATATACTTTGTAACTTAGATATTTATAGTACATCAGTATTTTTTAATATTTATTTCACATCACATCACATCACCAGCCCTTTCACGTCCCCACTGCAGGGGCTCAGGCCTTCCTTATGGATGGTTAAGGAGGATGGCCATGACCCTCCACGCTGGCCCAATGCGGATTTGGAGGGTATTGACGACTGCAAATGCAGCCGGGACCAACGGCTTAACGTGCCTTCCGAAGCACGGAGTAGCTCGAGATAATAATTTTTTGGTCACCCATCCCGTGACCGACCCTTGCGAAAGTTGCTTAACGACTACGATCGCGGGCCGCGGCGCTTATCCACTACGCCACCGAGCTACCAATATTTATTTGCGTGTAAATAATTAACCGAATCTTCGTAAAAAAGTGCCTGGATAGTTCATTATTTCATCTGTTCAGTATCAATTCATCTTTTATTTTCTCTTGTAAACAATAGTATTTATTTTTATATAATTATGGCATATACTTATCCATAACGTTGTTATGAAATGATGAAAGAAAAGCTCTAAATAAATTTGTTTTAGTTATCGATTACGATTCATATAATTAACAATACGATTCCTAGCAGCAGCAGCCTATCGGTACATTTCAGACAAATGGAGGCACAGCACTAAATAATTTAAGTGTAAATAATTAACCGAATCTTCGTAAAAAAAGTGCCTGGATAGTTCATTATTCCATCTGTTCAGTATCAATTCATCTTTTATTTTCTCTTGTAAACAGTAGTATTTATTTTTATATAATTATGGCATATACTTATCCATAACGTTGTTATGAAATGATGAAAGAAAAGCTCTAAATAAATTTGTTTTAGTTATCGATTACGATTCATATAATTATACAATACGATTCCGAGCAGCAGCAGCCTATCGGTACATTTCAGATAAATGGAGGCACAGCACTATTTTTTGCAAAAGTGCACAATATGATTTACATTGCTGTCTAGAAACGGGATCAGAAACATTGATGTTGGTTTGAGCAAACAATGTATATTTTATTTGAAATTGTGTCAAATTATTACGTTTTTTATATTTTAGCACTAAAATTGTACTTACCAGTGAAAGGAAATGTTTGCATTAGTTAGATTGTATACTTTGCTTTGCTTTTTGCAAGTGATAATAGCAAAAAACGGCATTTTTCATAGAAAAAAATCTGTAAAATCACCACTCGACGATTGGCGAACGACTGACAAACGTAAAACCGAGGAAAGGGCGTCATATGAGTAAAAGCGCATATGCCAGCCACGCGTGCCCCGCCCACTTACTACTTCTAATCTCTCTCTATGTTCTGTGCTTAGTATGCTAAGTAATAATATTTTTTTCTGCCAATAATGGTAGTTACGTAATATTTTTGTTTTAGGTCACAATGTAATTTATACAATTTTATTAATGTAATCATTATTTTTGTATTTAATGTTACATCGTAAGGCTTCATGATAATAACCTACCACGAGAGTCCACTTTGGATTGGGAAGTCTATAAGAAGCAGATTCTACTAGTGTATAAGTGAATAATTCTAGTGAATATTTTTGAGATAAGAATACGCTCTGTAGTAGCGGAAAGAAACTTAGTGGTTAGAGCAGTCGCCCGGTTTGCGAATCGTCGTGGGTTCGAATCCCATCTCAGGGTGCCAGGGACCAAGTGGATTTTTTAAGCATTTTATATTAAGAATAATTTTCAGTATAGCATTGTGAATGCGAAATTAATTAAATTATAATAATTAGAACAAATTCTCATCTTTATCGAAAGTTTCGTGACGTCACACGCCAGTAAAGATGTCAAGGCGACATAATCTATTTATTTACGATGTAAACAAATAGTATTACAGAAGAGAAATTGAAGTTAAATTTTATGTTTTGTATTTGTATCTGCTATTTGTATTTTTGGTTTATAAAAATGAGCCACAATCGGATTGTATAAATATAAATTGCGTTTATCTATAATAACACTGTTTTGACGATACAGTTTCCTGTTTACGTGTGACGTCATACGCTGGTAAACAGAATCTGTTATTGGTCGCGACGACAACCAATTACAAGTCGTTTTAGTTGTTCATTTAAATTCCTAAAAATGTTGCATTTACACAACATGCAACTTATTTTCAATAGTGTCAAATATTGCCGTGTATAACTTATTAAAGTAACCAAGGCAAACACAAAATTTGTGTTCACGGCACTTCACTTGTTTATTTAATAAACAAGTGAAGTGCCGTCAGTTTTAATGAGCGACGACTATTGTACAGTCAAGAACGAGGTAGCGGCGCTGGTGCGACCGCGCCGGGTAACGGTCGGAACGGGACCCGAGCTCTGACCGCTGGCGGGGCGGGGGCGGGGGCGGGCGCGGGTGCGGGGGCGGGGGATGCACGTGGGGGCGGGGGCGGCGGCGGCGGCCGGAGGAGGCGCGGCGCTCGACACGAGAGCAGGCTAAGGGAGTCGCGCTCCCTGAACCGTATAGCGGAGGTGGAGGTACGTCATAGGCTAGTTTCGGTAGTGAAAAATAAGTCACGATATTGTACAAAAACCAAAAGTTACATCGTAATAAACATTTACAGTGTTATTTCAAAACAGAAAAACGCACGTTGTTTAATTATTTTTTCCATTTCAAAATTGTATTTAAGCATTGATTAAGGTTAAATTAAATTGATATGGAGTTTAAAGATAATATTAATATGGTTAATTTAGATTATGTGGAAAGCTTTCCGGACACATAAGCAAACCGAACGCGAATTAATCCATTCGAGCAATACAAAGAACTTGGATTTAAAAGAAAGTACATGTTTAGTGGATAGTTTGCTTACAAAATATATGAATTTATTTAAGACGATATTCCACATAATCCTCGAGATGAAAGTATAGATCAACAAATAAATACAAGTGACATGTGCATGTGTGCATAGCATCTGTGTTTGCACACAGCTTGTTAACATTTGCGGCGTCGGGATCGTCATCAGGTAGTCGTTGTTCCGTTTCTTCATATTATATCGCTATAGTTTTACATAACCTAAAACTGATACGAATTATGTATAGGAGTGTCAGTTTAACAATGTTAATTTTGTTCTTAATATTTTTTAAGTTTTGTAAATTATTAGCAAATGCGTTATTGAAAATATCTTTTTACGACTATAATTTATCATAAGTCTGTATACAACGTGCATACATTGGAACGCTCCTTCATACACGAATGAAAGCCGATTGAACAAATATTTTATGGGTAGCATGTTAAAATCAGTTATTAGTTGGACAACGATTAAAAAATGGATTTGTAATAGACAAAGTTGAACATCATTTTAAACAGGGTTTATATTCTTAGTCATTGTTTAGTAACACATGGTAAAATCCTGTCTAACATCTCTTTTGTAATAACACTGAGAGATTCTGATTTTGAGTCTTAAATCGCACGATTAATAAGATATTATCTTAAAATTAAGTCGTGATTTTTTTGGCTGTGTCACGCACTTGACTTGAAACGCGACCCGCTATTGTGTGACGCCAGTTTGGCGACAGCTGACAGATTAGTTATAAAGATATACCTATTAATTATAAATCGAATTCCTAGATGGCGCTGTCCTTAGCTCATTTGTATCTTTTTATTTCGTAATCGTAATTGTAGCTAGGACCAATGCTTTGCGAACCACGAAATAATGCATTTTTTTGGTCACTTGACTGATGATCGGCCTTTGGTTAAGGGTTATTGATATAATTATATTCATATTTAACTGATTAATTTAGAAGATATATCTGAAGTTTTCTTGAAATATCAATATTTACTATGTATGTTTAATGTGGAATCTAACTGTAGGTTCTTAGTAACTTTTCTTTACTATAATGAAAATTTTTGTTCCTTTTTAATATAGAAAAGGAAATAATGAAAACAGTTACATAGAAATATATTATTAAACATGTCTTATTCTTCGTATATTCATTCTTTGAATCCAAACACCTTGAAGTCTGTTTTTCTTGGTAAAATCTATCCTATGTCCAAACCCAAGGTCCACACTATCTTTGTATAAAATTTCATTTTAGTTCAGTAATTTGGACGTAAAAAAATGTAACAGACACGTACACAGACTGAGTTTCTTTCGCATTTATAAAATATTAGTATGGAGATATAAGAAATAGTAAAATATTGTGGTCATATTATGGCTTTTGCCTACTTTAACTAAAAAATGTTCTGTAAACTGTTTATCCACCTATCGATAATAGAGGTGTAGACATTTTAATATATTTATTTTATAGATAGATATGAAATATATCTAAAAATAAATTTAATTATCAAAATTTCCCGCGAAAATGTCAACTTCTATCATGGCGTCGCTATGAAGTCATACCCCTCATAAATTAATATAGTTTTGACTGCATAAGGTTTAATTCTCTAAGATCTGATATGAGTAAGAGAGGCATGAAGTCAAGCTCTGTTTGCGTTCATTTGACAACGAGTATAAAATAGATGATTTTTCATAATTAATTTAGGCAATTTATAAATATAATAAACATAAATGTGTGACTATCGCTAATATTAAAAACTGTCAGAAATAAAATCTTTTAAATCTCTACACCCATATTGTTAGGAAGCAGCAGGTGCGCGATGGGGAGGTGGCGGTATCGTAGCTCTGTGTGGGCGACCGCTGCTTCGCTTGCTGGCGGCTGCTCGCCCCGCCCCCTCTGCACGTAGACTACATGGACTGTGCTAGACGATATATTTTGCCGTACGGTAAGTGTATATAGGGCTATACGTAAAATACAAACAGTCACGCAGAACTAGATCCACCATAGAGTATTCTTTCATAACAAAAAATATTTACTTTAATTTTCTGCTCAAACGTCTGTAATTGGCCACTTGATGATCATGTACTTAGAAAAATATACTTTTATTCATTTATTTTAAATTGTCCCGCGAAAACAATGAGTCACGTGACATTTCAAGCTGTGAAGTCACATTTCAATAAACATGACTACTAGTTGCACTGGCAACAAAGAAGTTGACGTTTAGTTTATTGAAATGTCACACGATGCTTCATTACGCATGAAGTTTCGTTTCTTGTAATCGACGGAGTATAAATCTCAATTTTGCAAAAATAAAATACAAGATTTATTTTAAAACAAAGTACTACATAGTTATCTAGAGCTACATAGAACTAGTCGCTACGCACTGCCGTCCTTTTATGACCCCGCACTTTCACATGTTTTTTATTAATTTTATTAATATGTTTTTAAATAATAATGCTACAATTTAAAAAAATTAAGACTACTTCTTACAATAAGTACACTTATATGATATGTTTAGGGTAGTTAGTTTTTTTTTATAATAGTGTTTTGATCTTCGTTTTGTTTATTTTTTTTACTTTTGTATATTTTTTATTTCCTATGAATTAATGTTTTAATTTCTATTATCAAATTTTGTACAATTGACGGGTGCTAATGACTACGCCTGCTGTACGGCTTAATTTGCCTTCCGATCCACAAAGCTCTCGAATTTGATAAAAGGTTAATAAAAGTCGGCCTTTGAGGTTGTTGTTCAAATTTTAAAGCAGCGTTTATTTATTATAATTTTAATATAGATTCAACTCTAACCACGTCTCCGCTCACAAGAACCCATCGAAGCGACCCGACGTTACGGCCTTGCTTCTAAAGGCGAATGCTCACGACCCCGACACTGGAAACGGAAGCATTAATCTATAATTTTGTCTACTCTATGGGGCCATCTCTCTTATGATTTCTATAGCTGTGCGAATGGATTATGTTTTTCGGTGAACGAGATTTGTTGGTTAACGGTGTTTCGTAAAATATGACTACGGATAGCTCTTTGTGAAACGTGGAATTTTGATTGTCCATCATTGGGAAATTTTATATTTTGTGGGGTCTCCCTACCCGTCAATGACTGATAAATATGGCCCCTCGAATAACGGGAAATATTTAATATATATGACGTCACCCGAACGGACGTTGTATTCCACTACTTTTTATACCTGAGGGGGTATTGAATATCCTATTTACTCTTCATATATATTTATATTTGAATATTAAACTTTCAAGCATCGGCTATTATGTACGGTTTTTCATTTTTATATACACATACTAAATATTTAAGTTTTGTATCGTGTCACCTTTCATCACTGCTGGATCTAGAGTATAATATTAAATCTAGACATTGTTGTAGAAAAAGTGTCTGAGTGTATCGTTTTCTAGTTTACTATGACATACTCTATGTTGTCTCCTATAATTTAATATAACGATTCAAGTATAGAAGATATCTGTCTCTGTAAATAATAAATGAAGTAAAGTTGGTCATTTATAAATGATTAAATTATTCTTTTCCCGATGTAAATTATTGATTATAATTAATGAAAAAATATTATTGATTCCTTAGATGTTGTCTTAGTTACTTTGTTGCACATTTAGAATTTGAATATATTTATTCTTGTTACTATTAGACGAAAATTTTGTTTCGAACACCCACATAGTGCATTTGATAAAGACGACCGAAAACGTAAGGATCCAAGCCATGTGTATTATCATTACCGTTTTCTCACATGTGTAAGTCGAAAAATGCTACTTCCAATGGCATGACCTTATGTTTTCAAGTCGAGCTTTAATTATAGATATAATTATTATGATCAAAAGATTGTTAGATTCGGTATTTTTTATTAATCAATTCTAGGAATGGAATGTTAAATAAGTTGAATGTTGTGCATTAAAATATATGTAGATACATACATAAATTGTTGTAAATAAATAATGTTATCTCAATTATTACATACTAACATAAGTTGATTTCTTTTTAATTTATTGTATGTAGTAGAGTGTACTGAAGATGTATTAATCATATACAACTTGTGTGAAATGAATACACCAGTGGTTATTTCACTAAAATTATAAAGTTACATACATTTATGTACCCTTGATTGTGGTGCACTGCGTTTCGCAATATTGATGAAGACCAAAGATAAACAGTATACATTTCTGACCACGTCTCGTGCTTTTTGGTGCCAACATAATTAAATTACTTGTTAAGTTTCATAACTATAAAGTGTGACTGAGTTATTTGCTCTGGTGCTCGCTGGTTCTATATGCGAACATACAACATTTTTGTGTCCATGTATTTGAGTTTTCATTAGCTGGGACAAAACACTGATTTGCTTCGCGCGGTTAATACCTCGCTTGGGTGCTCGTTCTGTGTGTAACGTATATGATATGTCAATATACGATAAAATAATTCTTTTTTTGGATTTATTTCAATTATACTTATTTATTTCTTTAAAGTGTATCCTAAGTGGTTACTTAACCCCTAAAATGTATTAATAGTTATCATGTTTTAATTCATGCATGTGATTTCTGTACAAAAAAATGGCTCCGATAAAATAACATAAACATGATAATAGATCATGCTATTCTATTTGTCTATGAAAAAATAAAGAACTTTAATTTACAAAAACTGTATCTATAGGTTTTGCTTCTTCTATTTTATTTCTACAAATATATAACTATTTTCGAGAGGACTCGATCCCAGCCCAGCAGATAACTTTATTTTGAAATACTCATCATAAGTAACATTATACAAAAACAGAACATAATATATCATATAATTTATAAGTCTGTGCAATATAGATGAATATCTAAATGAGAGCTTTGTGATTTGTACATTTTATATAGTATTTGTATGATTGAGGTATATCTGTTTATAGTGAATAGCTTATAGCATTTTAAAAACTGATATTCAAATAACTGTGTACCTGGTTGCCATCTGTATTTGGCATTTTAAATAAGGCTTTTGCAAAATGTCCAGATCCTGTAGCAATTAATTAGTCCCCATTTATGTCTGTATAACTAAAAATCGGACCTTATTTATAGAATACAATGTAGAATGCATTGATTTGAGATTTTGAATCCATATAGACTATTGTCTTGCCAACATATATGGAATTTATAACCTATTGTTTTCCAGTATTGTGTGTAATATTAATTTATAAATATATGTTGTATCAAAGGAGGATCTTGTTTTATAAACAGAATAATAAATATAGTACCTTTATTATAAATATTTTTTAGTTTGAATGTTCTCTTGAAATGTTTGTCTCAAATAAATGTATAAAAAGTACATAAGTTATTTGATTTTTTATATTTGACCTTTAGTAATTTTATGGATACTACCAGCGTCCCAGCCCGGCAATTGTGCATGTAATAAAAATGAATAGAAATAAACTGCATTATATTACGAAGCGATAGAGGATAATATTATTCATACGTCATGTAAATAGTTTCCAATGTTGTCTGTAGTCGTAGTCGAAGTAACTAGCTGATTTTTTACTTTACTTTATGGCTTACTTATATTGATTGATAAATCCAATATGTGCTTTGCGGGCCGTGCATGTTCTGGCGATCACTTCAATAGAAAGAACGGTTTAACTACTATAATATTACCAAGTATCTAATCGTTGATTAAAGTCCATTAATTTTTACCCGCCTACGGCGAACCGAAGATGGTTATAATTTTGGCTGGTATGTATAAGAATGTTCCTTTATAACTTCGAAACTACTCATCGTAATTGGATAAATGAGATATCATTAGAAGCGTCTTAGTTTTCCGCGTGCTATAGGCTATGTGACGTTACATTAAATTAGTAACAGCTGCCTCTAGAAAGTGTAAAAAAATATATTATTCAATCACTCCGTGTAGGGTATCAAATCAAAGGATTTAATTGGCACATTTCAAATATACCCGAAAATTAATTAAATAAAAAACAAGCTCAAGAACCTAAACCCGGCTAGAGTTAAATGACGTCTTTAAAATATAAATTTCTTATTTTAAAGAAATTTATAGCGATAACCAAACCAAGAGCGTGGTTTAGCTTTAGTCGAGTTTTAGTTTAAGAACAGTTTTTATTTTTACAAATATCAATACCTCGTGATAGATATTGACATTAAAGAACTGAATTTTATATGACACCAATAAAATCTGTAAATTTTACCTCCACTCTTTAATTGTATGTAAATTATGTAATAGATAAATATGTGGTGAATGGTGCTGGTGTCAAAATTAGTAAAACGGCATATTACTACTAATTGATATATAGAAACTTTGTAAATGTTTGTTAAACAAATAGAAAAAATATACAGCTCAATTTACACTGCAATAAATGGAATGGAAGTGACTTTTTGCAATGAAACTTTCCTAGACCATTTTTTGGCTCAATTTATTTTGTATATTATATGATTAACAAAATTCATTATATATACTATATCTATCTTCATTACAAAAAGTAGCTTCCATTACATTTTGTGGAGGTGAAAATTGAGCTTAAATGTGCCAGAGTACAATTGGAAGTACTTAATCAAAAAGGATCCATCCCACACAATGTCACTTTTGAGATATAGACGATTGAAATTTAAGCTGTATTTGCATATTGATGTAACATTTTTGTGTATTATATTTTTATATAAATAATATAGAAAGCCACTTACATTATCTTATTATAATATCATTTTAACAGAACTAACAATATTTATTAAAATATAAAGATTAAAGTATGTTTGGATTCTTTCTGATATATTTAGGTTTTAATTACCATATTCTTAAAAACAAATCTCAAAAATGACCCAAATGAAGAAATAATAGAATAATTAACTGAAACACCAAAATTTTATCGAATACAACTATTTATTAAAGGTTTTTTATATTTGTTATTTTAATATTTAATGTCAAATGTATTCTCACTATCAAAAATCCTACACCTTTTAATAAAATTACCTTTTAACAAAAGATTCAAGCCTTTTGAACCTCTTTTGTAATTTTTAACCAAGATTAGTACCTTTAATTTGCTTATTTGCTATTTTACTATATGAACCCAAGAAGCTCGAGTCGTTTTCATGGAACTAAAATATGAACCTACCAAAGATGTGGGATGGTAACTACCATTGAAAAAACGTCAAAAATTTAATACAGCTCGAGAACTTTTTTCCTATATGAAAGTATCAACCCTGATGGACATTTTGGTATACTCAACTCATTTTCAACCAATTTGTGGGTTGGATTCCTTTTGTGTAACTACGTCCAATTAAGATGGTGGATCTTATTAGCACAGATAAGAAGTTTTATTATATATTTCTGGCGTGTTTATACTCTATTCCTGCTTGCCGCAAAATATTTAGTCAGTGTTTATCATTTATGGTTCTGTGAATTATTTAACTTGTGCACTCGACACAGTAGGTAATTATAAAATGCAGACAGAACTCACTGATACACTCCTTTTGGTTTTCTAAGGAATGATCTGGCAACAATGGCGTTGTTTGATAATTGTGACCCGTCAACAAGGTTGACATGTTACTCTTCAGTCTCTTACAAAACACCAGTATGAAAAGCCTGTTATTACGAAAACATAAAAGGTAAAAAAAGTTACACATATGACAGTATTGTTTGATTTATTTACCTTGGCTAGTTATACATTGGTAAAAATATTAATGCTATGAAACAATTTGACTTAGCATTTGGTTTGTAACAATAAATTCACGCATAGTGTTTCATATAATGTAATGGGAGCTAATAGTAATAAGATACCTTTATTAATAAACCGACTTCATAATAGCAATAAATCTCAAATGCTCTTATTTTATTTTTGAATCAAATGTTAAAATCAATAGGAACCTAAATTAGGTTTTAAGAATAATTCAACAAGTAGCAAATCTTCATTATGAACCAGTAGTACTTTATCTTATGTGCCTAAGAAATAAAAATTTCCTAAAATATTTTACACTTGATCAGGTTCTATTAACATGGAAAGAAAAGCAGATATTTTTCTAACAATTCGGAATTATGAAAACAAGAAAAATTAGAAAAATGTAAATGGAACCAAGTTAGACATAAATTTGCCAATATTTATAAGCAACTGTTATTGTAATCAAAACATTGATTCTAATAAATATAAGTATATTGTTGTTTATAAATACAGGCATAAAAATTACTTAAATCAAAAGGTCAGTAAACTAGCCTTAAAAATACCAAAGCAAGTTTAACTTTTTAAAAGGCCACAATAATTTAGGTATGATAAATAAATGGGCGTACCTCTATTTGGGTAGTTAAGAGCAATTTTAGAGACAATTCTTACAAAATATGTATTGTTTGCCCAATCTATTATAGAAAGAATAAATTAACAATTAATGTAACTTCAAACCAAACCAGTTTATAAATGCATTATAATATATAATCCATATTTTACATAAAGGCTAATGTATATGACATTAATTAGCTCTGGTTGACATTCAATATAGTACCTATAAGCAATTGATAAGAATAAAAATGCAGACAAATAAATCATAGCTAGATTGGGTCTCTGTTTAGACATATTTAGCAAGAAAATAACTAAAAAGTGCTTCCCTCTGGTGGCTGGGAGAGCTTCATGTTCTCCTTCAGAGTCATGAGACGTCTAAGTTCCTGCAGCACAGTCTTGATAGTGTAGTCTCGTTGCCATCGAGCAAGAATTGGAACTTGTCGATTATCCACCTAATACACAAATGAATTAATAATTTTGAAGATCACATTAATATTACTAACTTATTTTTATTACTTACAAGTCCTGTTTGGCTGTTTACACAGTTCATGTTGATTCTAGAAATAAATCTAGCAGTTGGAGGCTCATCAGGATATCTAGTACCACATTCAATTTTGAGTGAGTACATCCTATTTTCATAAGGAGTCTAAAAATAAAGATAGATTCGATTAAGTTTATTTGCAAAAATAGATAGAATTACAACACATAGAAAATGTTAATCAACTGAGCATTACCCTAGGGGGGCCGATTATCATGCCAGTCCAATGAGTAAGAGTCATATCATCATCACTTTCTAAACCCCATGAAATGGTGCCATCACCAACTCCCTTTTGCCCTTGTTCAAGTTCCTCAAGAAGGCGAAAGTTTCGTGGTACAACTGAAAAGTAAAGATGCAATGTAAATGTTTTAACAAATAATTGAATTCGTTTATTGTTGGGATACGAAACTTGAGGCAACTCAATCTTACCAACGCCTGATGACGGATTCGCCATGATCACAATTACACCGGCGCGGAGTACCGAGAGAAACTATTGGCTTCGTAATTTAAAATGCCATAAATTTTGTATGTATAATTACACAAACTTTTTCGCAAATAAACATGCGATTTTATTTTGATTTTACAAATGAAATAATCCTGGAATTCAGAATTTTTCACAAAGTCAAAGAGTATGTAGCAATTTTTTTGTTGACTTTGACAATGTCATGTCTTCCATTTTCATTCATTGTCTATGACGTGAAGAATAGAAGTTCTCAAAATAGAACTAGATGTCACTAGGTATTGAAACATTGTAAGAGTGGAAACACATTGTTGTATATTGTCTTAATTGTGGCGAGTCGGTGTGAGTGCGACAATGGCATAGTGGCATATTATTTCATACATAGAATTATTATTTCTATTTCATTTGTTTATTAGTATGTTTAGAGACGATTTTTTAAGTTATGTTGTGTAAGTTGCGTGTGACAGAAATATTTATTTTTAAGTTTGAAATAACGGTTGAGCACAGCTATTTTCTACAACGCTTTAAAGTAAAGCTGAATTTACTCCTAAATAAATTACATAGCGTTGATATTTGGGCAACTCGCTTAAAATATCCGCGATCACCAAGAAGCGGCAATCACAGTTCGCATCGATACGTAGACATCTTTATACCGTCAATGTAAAGCGTTAACTCTTTACATTGACGGCCATGTATTGCAATTTTAATAACTGTATAGAGTGTAACGCGCTATGTATAGTTTTTAATAATATCGACCTCTATGAACTTGCCATGAGTGAATGAAACAACAACAGGGTGTCAGTATACATGTGAATGAAATAGGTAAATGTTCGGCTTTCGGAGTGATTAAATTCGCTTTGACTTTATAGCATTGTGGACATAACTAGTTATCAAAAATAGATAGTTTTGATATCGGTGATTGGCGATAGCGGTAGCGTTACGTTATTAACGACCCATCGCTAACGATGACATAAATGTGATTCCGTTCAAGTCTGATTATTCTCTCCTCAATCCAATGCCCTTTTCACTCGCTTGCAAGAAACTTAAATATCTTAAAATATATAACATTCTTGTTCGCTGGAGTATATTGTTCTGTGGTTTTAATGCTAAAATTACTCAGATGAAGTTTTTTTTTTTACTAGGATTTGTAGCATTTCTTTTTCAGAGTCAGAAACGCCGTTAGTACACTGATGAAATTGCATGCGAATGCGAAAAGTCTGCGAAACTATTGCGAACGCAAAGAGGGTTGTCACTTTCTAAGAACTAAATTATATGAAATTGTATTCATAAAAATGATAAATATAATATTTTTCATTGTATTTCATTGATGACACGGGTTTACACAAATAGAAAAATTTACTCAAACCATAGAGTTAAAACATATAGCCTGTGTTTTTTTATATTGTCTTTGGTTTGACGTCGGTCGTCACAGGCTGCTGTCGTGTGCCAGGCTGTGAAAAAAATTTCTTTCGCAGCTTGTGATATTTTCAAAATACACGTGATCGCATTATCAATAACAATAATTGGTTTAGGTAGTTACCATAAATTACATTTTGTGAATTAAAAAACCTTAACATGAACAGTTATGTGATTTGATAGTGATAGTGCAGTTTTGGAGGTAAAATGCCCGCTTCCATTTGTGATCCAGTATCAAACGCGTTGCGTTTATCTATTACTGCAGACGAATCACAAAGTTCATCATTATTAGACAGTAGACTTTATTCTTCCGCGAAAGGAGTGTTACTGACAAAGATTGACTTTGAAGAATCGGGGGATTTTCAAAGCAATGTTCTTGATGGGTTGAAGTCTAAGTACGTGGTTATACGACCTAAAAAGCCTGTGCTAGATGGAAAACTTTTGAAAAAAGAAGGAGTTACTTCTAACCAAATACAAGGTAATTTATTATTATTATAAGCCCACAATCAAGTTGTAATAGTGCTCATAAAATGCATGCCATCAAATCAATTTAGAGGTTATACTTTCTCATTTCTATGTCAATATTTATGTTTAGATTTATGTTGTTTATTTATTGTCTAATTGCATAAAATATTTTGACAAAATATTATTTATTTTAGATGGCAGTAAACATATTGAAGAAGGTTTACCAAAACCTAAAAGGGTTTTATTTCCTGTTGAGAGAGTTCAATTAGGATGGCAGAGTGCATGGGCAGCAGGAGCTGGCATGCAGAATGTTGGCAACACTTGTTATTTGAATTCCACTCTGCAGGCTTTATTTCACGTACCTGCTTTAGCCAATTGGTTGGTGACAGAATCAACACATGCTGAAAAATGTAACCAGCAAGGTAAAAACATTTTAAGTAATGCTTATAAGAATGGAATAAATTATAGATAAATCACAAATAACACCCTATTAACAGACAATGGTATATTATCTACTGTGTTCATTTGCAGATTAATGTATTAATAAAATGATATATAAAAACTTTAAATTGCAGAAGCTTGTGTTATATGTGGCATGCGTGCCACTTTAATTGCTACACAAAAGAGCGGGGGAGCTCCAATAAAGCCTTGGCAAGTATATTCAAAGTTGCGTCTGATATGTAGACACCTTACTCCAGGACGACAAGAGGATGCTCATGAATTTTTAAGGTATTTTCAAACTTTACAATGTAGTTTCTTCTTTGTGTTTGAGGCTATAAATATCTTATATTCTTCAGGTTTAGCATTAGTTATTGTATATTAATTTCTATGGTTTATGATTTTGGAGTAAGTTTATAAACAATCAAGCTTATTCTTTGGCTTGTTACTTATTAATTATATAGTTTCAAACCTTTTTCCTGACAGGGTAGCTAGATACCTCTTCCATTTTACATGACCCTGGATACACCTCTTGTTTCTTAATTGTTTTAATCAAAACTGTGTTGCAACCATTTTAGAAGGCATTGTTGCCAATTATGTTGTATCACTCTAAACTAAAAAAAAATATTTTTTGGGTTTCATTTGCAGCAATTTTATTTCCTTATTATGTAATCTGGAAATACATTCAATATAATATTATAATAAGGTTGCTTATATAATCTTAGTTTTCTACAAAATCTAAAATGCAGTTTGACAGGATTGAAACTAAATTTATGATTTTGATTTATAGATACTTAGTAGAAGCAATGGAAAAATGTTACTTGTCACGTTTTGTAAATTCTGACAAGTTGGATCAGTACAGTAAAGAAACTACACCGTTAAACCAGATTCTGGGTGGTTATTTGCGATCAACTGTGCGGTGTTTAGCCTGTCATCACCTCTCAACAACTTATCAACATTTTCAGGTAATTAGTAATTTATTTAGACAATAAATGGCAATGTATGTAAGAGAACTATGAAGCTATACTTAATATTTTGTAACTATTGACATGTTTATTTTCTCTTGTATAAAATGCTCAAATGTAAATTTTTCTAAATGTTAGAATATACTAAGGTTTCTGAATTGAGAATTAAATGTAAGAAGTTTTTGTTTCTGATATCAGGTTTTTTAATGATCAGTTGATAGCAGTGTGATAAAATTACGACTGTTTGACTTGTGAAACATAAAAAACTTAGTTATTGACAACAATCGGTTAAGACTTTGTACTTTTCTCAATTCAGAAGCCAGCCGTATGGCTAATAATAACTCCTTTTTTTTTAATGGTGGCACCATTCTGAGAAACTTACTTGAATTTATTTATATTATTATGCTAAAATTATTAGAAACATGAATCATTCAGAAATGTGACAGTTTTAATTTATGTTTTCGTTTTTTTATTTATGTATGACTGGTATACACACTTATAAAACACAAATTTAACTAATATCGAGGCACATAAGTTGAAGTATGCACGCATGTTTTCCGTTCTTAATTGCAGTGCGAAACTGGGCGGTGAGAAGTTTGTATAAGTACACAACTGTACCTATGTGGAAATTCGCCAGTTTACGTGCCGCGCGTGAAATTATATATAAAAGATCGTAAATTTTCTATGTGGTTGAGATATCAAAATTATTATTTTCATGCCTCTCACATCCATCTCCTAAACTAGTAGTCTAGTAGGTTATATTTTATTAATACATAAGGCGGTATGAAGTTTGTTGTGTTAGCGAGCATTTAATAATATAAATGGAATAAATTGTTTCAGGACCTTTTATTGGATATAAGAAAGCACTCAACATTAGATGAAGCTTTGGATTCATTCTTTTCAAGAGAAAGATTAGAAGACTTAGGTTACAAGTGTGAAGCATGCAATAAAAAGGTAATATATATGACTATTTAATTTCAATTAATCATGTAAACAGATAAAATTACAATATTTCTGTACATTCCCAAGTTTCAAGACTTTTTTTTCCCCAGGTATCAGCTACAAAACAGTTCTTTGTAGAACGCGCTCCAATGGTGCTATGTATTGCTCTAAAAAGATTTTCCTTAACCGGAGGGAAATTGTCAAAGCATGTTCAATTTAGAAAAAAATTAACACTACAAAAATATGTGTACAATAAGAACAATAATCAGCAGTTGGTGAGTAGCATTTAAACATGCATACACAAATTATTTCATATTATATAATTTATATAAATATATAAATATAAATTATTTATTAATTTACAGTCTTATAAACTTGTGAGCTTGGTGACTCATCTTGGACCATCTCAAAACTGTGGACACTACACTGCAATAGGACAAGCTCCTAACAGTAACTACTATCAATTTGATGACAGCTGTGTGCGGCCATTGCCTCTGTCTGCCGTATTAGGCACAAATGCATATATTATGTTTTACGAAAAAGACAACAGCGTCGAAGACTCGTCCGTCCCTGTCGCTTCTACTTCTAGTGCAGTGTATGGACCACAATTGCCAGACAGTATTAGTAGAGACAAAAGTCCATTAAAGTTGACTTTCTATCGAAACGATGAAAAGAAACCAATTATCCTTAACAGCACTGCAACAGAAGTGAACAAATCTGAAAATAAACCTATAATCTTAAATAGTACATTATGTAAAAGTTCAGATTCCAATAATTCAAATACTGAACCTTGGGTGGTCAAACAGAATGGTGAAGTGGAAAAAGTGATACAAACTCCCAAGACCTCAAACGGAATCGAAAGGTCCAATTTCAAAATGGATGACGACAAGAAGATCAGTTTCATTATCAAAAGACAGAGTGGTGAAGATAGTCATGTTAAAGCGAAACTCGTTAGGAGCGATTCCGAGGCGAGGATGATCGCTGGAAAAACGCCGGTTGCTTCGACGAGTAAGGTGGTCAGGCTGCCGAAGTCGCCTCTAGAAAAGCTGGAGGAGCAAATGAACAAGAGCGACGCCACAAGTTCATCTCAAAGGGTGGTGACTAATGGCTCCTCAGGATCTCGGCTTGTGCCTTACGACTCTGAGTCGAGTGGAGATGAGCGCGAGCGTCTCGACGAAAGACCTCCGCATGGCGTGCCAAGACTTAAGCCCAGCCGCTGTCACGAGCCGCAGGGCCTAGTAGTAACCACCAAGGGAATGCACCATTCTTGGACGGTCTCTAGCGAGAACAGTGCACCGCTCCTTAGCCCCAGTTTAAACGGCGTTACTAATAAAAGGTAAGCAATTGATCAAAAAGCGTTTATCGTTTATGATTAAACTAGCTTTCCGCCAGCGGCTTTTTTTTTTTTAAATAATAAAGTGTATTTATTTAACTTTTTCTACAGTAACTAATTAGCAAGTATACAAAAACTAATACAAGTTTGACCGTATACCGCTCATTCACTATCGCTGCTCTTTAATTTGTTTCGTCTACTATCAGTCAAAATAAACGTAATAGTGGGTACATGGATAAAGACTTAGTAGTTAAGAATGTCCCGAGTATATACAGCATGCGTTTGATGCAAATGGGAGTTAATGTATAAATAAGACAAAGTTGACTAATTATATATCATACAAATATAAACCCGATAGTACATTCGTTAATATATTAATGCAAATAACATACCTATTTAAGTTTTTCGATATAGTACCTCTTCAATGTTCTTTTAATATTTTTGGAATTTATTGTATTTTTAACTTGATCATGCAGTTCATTAATCAGAAATGGAACCAAACATGCAAACTTCTTGCCCCATACAGATTATTAAACCTTGGAATCACAAGCCTCTTTGATTGAGACCGCCTTGTATTTTTAACATTAGTATAAAAAGATTTTTGAATATTATTATTAAAGTAGTTTTCAACTAATATTGTATAATTTACTTTGTAATGAATTGGAAGAATACTGCAATAATGGAATAGATCTCGATAGTTATCTTTGTATTTTGCTTTTATTTTAGTCGGTACTATATTTTTAATAAGGCGTAGTTGCAACCCGTAAATTTTATCAAGATGACTTTTACACGTACGACCATAACTGCTGAGACCATATGACACAATAGACTCCGCCAAAGAATAATACAGGGCTAATAATATTTTATACGGAACCTTATTTTTAATTAGGCAAATTTTTGCTAATATTGCTCTTAATTTATCACACACCAGGTCGATGTGATCCGTCCACTTAAAACGATCGTCAATGACCAAACCTAAATACTTGTGACTAGTTACAACTTCAATCGCGGGACATTTACATGGTTCTGTATACGCATGCAAACAATTATGTTCATGAGCAATCAAATTCAATGTCATAAGACTTCGGTTGCTGCTTGAACTTACATACATCATTTTAGTTTTTTTAGAATTTAGAACCAAACCGGCATCGTGAGACCATGCTGAAAGACGAGTAAAATCTTTTTGTAACTGATCTAGAGCAATATTGATGTCATGATGAGCTGCAACTAAACATGTGTCATCCGCGTACTGGTATATCTTGCAGTCCTGAATAACATTCACTACGTTATTGACATACGTAATGTAGTGAAGTGGACCGAGTACCGACCCTTGAGCTGTTCCGTCGGTAACGTGAACACGTTTGCTCAGTTCCTTGCCCACTTTAACATGATAAGTTCGATTCCTAAGGTAATCCTGACAACAGTTCAACAATGAGCCCCTTACACCACATTCATACAGCCTCTCTGACAGTATTTCATGTTTCAGGGTATCAAAGGCCTTGCTGTAGTCTATGAAGACTACCAGTACGTGTTTTTTCTTATTTAGTTCGTGCATAATTTGATCAGTAAATGCCGATAGAAGTTGACTTGTGTTTTTATGAGGTTGAAAGCCAAATTGTGTGTTTGTCAACACATTATTATCCGCATAGAACTCATAAATTTGCGGATAATAATGTGTTGACAAACACACAATTTGGCTTTCAACCTCATAAAAACACAAGTCAACTTCTATCGGCATTTACTGATCAAATTATGCACGAACTAAATAAGAAAAAACACTTGCTTCGCCCGCGTGGTCTTGTATTATACATAAAAACCTTCCTTTTGAATCACCCTATCTATGAAAAAAAACCGCATCAAAACCCGTTGCGAAGTTTTAAAGATTTAAGCATACATAGGGGTATAGGGACAGAAAAAGTTACTGTTTTATACTTTGTAGTGATAATATTTTTTTCTGTTTGTATATCTTTCTTACTCACTCTTGCGTAGATTTTTACCACTTGGATTTTGCAAATATAAATGTGTTCAATCAAAATATAGCATTTTGATTTTATTGTTGGTAATCTCAAATTCTTAAAATTTCAATAGGGTGAAAGAGAAAGAAGAGCGCGGTTCAGAAAATGAACAAAGTCCGAACACTAGTGTGAGCAGTATGTCGCCTCTCAGTGAACACAGTGAGGGCGGAGGTCGCGGGGCGCCGGCCCCCGCCCCGGGCCCCGCCCCCGCCGCCGCCATGTTGCCGGGGCCTGCCGCCCGACATATGTTGTCCCTCTCGCACCGTGGTTACGGCGCTCCTGTCTCATCTTGGAATGGGTCGCATAGCGTCCTCTCACGACAGGTTAGTTCTATTTCTATTTCATATTCAACTTAAGTTCAGTTATTTCTATGACGTGAAAATTAAATTAATTGACCTAAACTTCTATTAAAATTAAATGTGTAAACCAAATATATTATTGATAGCTCATTAAACATCGGGAAACCAGAGGAAAGCACAAGTAATACGAGGATCAGCATTCCAATTCTGTTAACGTTTACGTTATAATCGCATCTCAATAGTAATTATACTATCTACCTGAAGGCCAATATTATTAGTACTATGTCTTCCTCTGAACTTTGTAATTGTTGTTAAGGTGTTTGAAGAAAAACGTGAAGAACGAAAACGGGCTTTGGAAGCGGTCGACGATATGGATCGCGGACGCAATAAGAAAGTGAAGAAGTTCCACCACTACAACCGATTCAATAACAACAGGAACGGATATAATCCTTTCCAGGTAATTTTGTATGAATTTTTTATCATGCAAATAAATATTATATTATCATTAGAGTGAAGTCTTTAGAGTATTTTCAAAGAAATTTTGATTATATGTAATATAATATAAATTTCTGTATTGCGTTAAAATTTTTGTTGAACTTATTTTATGATTTTTTTTTCTATACAGGAAAAACAGAACAAACCACACTGGGGAGGTAATTTCAAGTACCGCGGTGACAGGAGGCCACCACATCACTTCAACAAACATCACAACAACAAATACAACAAACGATTTAACAACAGGTGGGAATAGTGTTATGCTCTTAAATATCAAGTCTTACTTTATACTCTTAACAGTAATCATAACGTGTTTAGCATTATCGTTAAAGAAATATTTACGCCTATTACAAATAGAGGTGATATGCTGTCGCCAGGACCACGACTAAGGTTAGGTGCACATTAGACTGAAGATCAGTCAAGCTCAAACACTTCTATGTACACTACTGAACCAGCTGTTTGGTACTGGAAAATTACTCATTAAAGATGTTGTGATACTATAACACGTCGATTGTATTGCCGTCTCGTTTACTCCTTCATAATAAGCGAGACGGTGCGCTCGTATTGTATCACAATTTTAGTTCTGAACAACTTTTCTAGTAGCATAAAAGTCTTTGGTCAAGCAACTCATGGAAGTATACGTTAGTTCGCAGTGAATTTCCATCGATTATGTAAGTTCCAATATCATATTAATTTATAGTGGATATAACAATGTAGTAGAGGACTGGAATAAACATATCTGTTTTTATTAATAAAATATTTAAACATTTTTTGACAGAACATTTAAAACAAACATAATAAAGGAAATTAACTTTGCAACCCAAAATAAATAAATAAATATTAGACAACATCCCATACATTGCTCAGTTTCTTAGAAGAGTAGCTAAAGCCCCCATATTATGGAGTATCTGAGATAACGAAGGTACTAAACAACCCAGACTCGAGACAATATAGAAAAGTTTATTTTCTTCCTGTCCGGAAATCGAACCCGGGACCTCAGATATGGCGACACCTTGAAACAGACTCATGATGACAACTAGAAATGTGTATTAAGCTTTATATTAATTCACAAATTCACAAATGCTGCCAAACTTCGCGTCTTTGTAGGTATTTGCGTATTTGAGCATGTGTCGCGGGCGGACTTATGATGGATGTTTTATGACAGTATTTAATCGTTAATGTTAGCCGTAAACGTAAACGATCTATTTTTTGTTTCAGATACAACAATGGGCATCATTATCCGAGACACCATTGACCCCAGCCACTTAGTGTCCTAATTGTGGTGCACATAGATAGTTTATGGACTTCTTAATAATTTTAGTTGTATCTATGTCTAGACTTGCATAGTTAACTATAATAGCGAGATTCTTTGATTTATTCTGCTACAAGATTAGCATCCACCGTTTGTGGTAAAAAAAAAATAGTGAATTATACATTTACTGCCAGTCCAGCCTTTATAATGCATGACTATGAAAGTTTACCGTATAATAATATTGTGGACATAATTTTTATTATAAGCCTTCCTTTACACATATTACTTTCAACAAACCTGTTATATTTGATTATGTGTAATATTCCTAATTTATCAATCTTCCATACTTCAGAGTTACTGGTTCTGGTTTGGTAGAATTACTATTGCATTTGGTTATCTCAAATTTTATTAATTTTTAAGAATATATGACTGCAGTTTACAAGTTGGTTTTTTATATTATCCCTATACTATGTATATGATAGCTTGACAGATGTACACTTTAAAATAGGTTTTTGTTTTAAATACCTGCAGTTTTTGAAAATGTGAACGAGGTATAAGATGGAAGATGCAGGTCACTATAAAAAAAAGTAGGAAATTAAATTTTTAACACAGAGCGCGATGGGGTTCGTATGGGGTTAGTCGCATCTAGCCCTGAAGTATTTTTCCCAGGGGTAATTTATGTCTAAGTATTTCTTCTATGGTATTTAAACACCCGTAGATTATAAAATTAATTTAACGCTTTTTTTCTGATAATACAAATGCCAATTAAATATCTATTAACATGTTGGTTGATACTAGTTACAATAATTGGGCATGTATTGCTCCTGGGGAAAATGTCTTAGGGGCAGTAAATGGATTAACCAACAAGAGAATGCCCGGCAGTTGTGGGAGCGTAGCTTTCTTAGTAAATCGATGCGTTATGGCTTTAAAAGTGTGCGATATTACGATAGAAACATTTGAGGTCCTTATTTTATTAATCTGGGCTCTGCATCACTTGGTCGTTCATTATTTTAATGTTGCAAGTTTTCAAATCCTCAAACTATTAGTAAAACATTAGTTCTTATTTTTATATGCCACTAGTGGACGCCCGCGACTTCGTCCGCGTGGAAGTCGGTATCCCGTGGGAGTGAGAAGTTTTCCCAGTAAAAAGTACCCTATGTGTTATTCTGATGTATAACCTATATTGCTGTAAAGTTTTATCCAAATCCGTCCAGTAGTTTTTTCGTGAAAGAGTAACAAACATCCATACATCCATACTTACAAACTTTCGCCTTTATAATATTAATAGGATTCTCTAGTAACGATTCAATATTATCGAGATGAGGTAGTACTGCCTCTAATATCGTAAGACGAAACATTGTTTATTTCATAATTTCTTAAAATAAGATATTTTGTTACCTCTCGTTTTTATAATTATGTAACTATGTTCTCTTAGATTCCCGATTTATTTATATATTTTATGTTTTAGCGTATTAAAATATATGTTAACAATTTAAGATAGATGTAGGATTTACTTCATTACATAAATATCTTGAGGTATGATTGGTTAATAAGTGGTTGTATGTGATACTTTTTGTTGCAAACCGATATTAAAATGTATTCAATTGGTTCAAAAAGACAATATTTACTTACCAGTCGTAAAAGATGAATATGATTATGAGTTCTGGTATTTTCTAGTCTCCGCTCCCGCGTAGCATCAAATAACAGTTGAAGTCGGTGCAAATTTAACTGAAGATACGATAAGCTTCTCACGGAAGTATATGGTAGTACATACGTGATAGAATTTTCTTCCCCGACCGACGAGACACGATGCAATTTTCCGTCAGATATGCACCGAACTTTACAATAACAAGTTACTATTGTAGGTGCGAGTGATAAATGTCAAACGAATTACTTAGGTAATTTATATTCTCCTGATTTGAGGATGATTTATTATAGCCTAGTCTATAAGAAACGCTTAGTGAAGTGAAAATCAATTTTCTCATTTAGTTCTTTTACCAAACTTTCAATTAGAAAACTTATAGTTTTTAACATTTGGAAGAATTAAGTTTTATTTGATTATGTGATAAAAAATTAAGCAGTCCATCATAAAACTATATCGCACTGTTTTTGTTGCATTGTTTGGTAAGATATTTGAACTGAAGGACTTATTGTGATTTAAGTTTATTTTAATCTTTTCGTTATATATATTAATAAAAGTAATACGTACTGTCGTACCACCTAAGTTGAATGTTGCCGGATTACTTAGTGTTTTATTGAAATCCAGGTTTTAGTTAATTCGCTAAAATTAAGTAACATTTGAGGAACAGAAAACTATATTTTTAAAGGTTTTATTTACTGCATTCGTGGTTCAAATGGTACATATTAAAATTATTTCAGTTACTTTTTTCCGGTTTTCTTTTTTAAGTTTTACTGATAATCGATTTGACAGGACCGCATCATATCGAATACTGCTATAACCACTATTGCATACCCATAAAATCATGTGTGTCTGTTGATATTTTTTTAGATAATATTCAAGGTATGCAATGTTTTATTCACCGGTTTGATAAATTCACTAAAAGCATGATATGATAAAATATCTAATAAAATTCTTCATATTTGTAAATGATTGACTTCTTTGTTTCGTTTTGTAAATAATGTTACAGTTCATGAATTAAATGAAACTGATGAAAATTTATGAAATAAAACTAAACTTTTGCTGTATTTTTCTTCATGGAAATATGTATAACATGCAATATCTTTGTATTATTCATATTAATCTACTTGGCGTTTTACTATTTTGTGCTAGAAGCACCAATACATAAAACTTGAGAAATCGTCAATAGTCTTATAATAAATAGATTGAGATAAGTTAATATATGTACTTTGATTTAACTTTGTTGAGGTCGAGGAATTGTAAAAATTAAGTTGATAAGTGGATAAATATTTTCTATGTAAGTCCACCGACAGGAGTAAAGCAAATGATAAAAAGAGTTGGTTTTATTTTTTTTACTAATGCTGACATACACCTAATATTAAATTTCAATTGGTTTTTACAAAGAACTAATGGCCAAATAAACTAGTTGAAATTTAGAAAACTACATGTATGTTAGGGTACTGGAAGGGTCAAACCGTGAATAGTAATTATAATATTGTTTCAACACAACTTCCCACCTTTTGACTACCTTAGACAAAAAATATCGCGACACCAACGAAGTTTTGCCTTGCCACGTGGTTTTAGTTTCATATGTAGGAATATATTACCTTTACGCTACAAATAGTACGAAAATATATAGCACAATATTCTACATACATTATTTTAAATTTGTGAATTCGGCAGGCGTGTTATTAATTTGACTGATTATTTGCCGCTTTATTTATTAGATAATGCATATAATTTTATTTGGTGTCATATTTTTTGCGAACGGAAAAATGGGTAACTAATAAATAAATATTAAGACAACGTCACACTAACGAACTCAAATTAAGTACCGAGGAGGAGGATTAGGTTGACAAAACGATGTGTACTGAAAATAAGCTATTTTATTGCTAGCAACTAAAACTAATAAATGTATAATATATACAAAAAAAAAATTGGAAACTCCATTCAGCCTTCATTTATTACTTAAGCTGGCAGTAACAGCTATGTTCATCTTCCGCAATTAGCGACGCAATGATATTTTTTTTACATTTATATTATTTGCAACCCAATGTTGGAAATATCCCATTTTTTAAGTAATGTAAGAATAAAAAAATATTTTCAATTATTTTTTTACAATGACAAATAAAGAATATACAATTCTGCTTTCTCAAACCGTAGAATACTAAATAAAGCTATTTATGACTTAACATGGTCTTAAAATAATAACTTAAACTGCCCAGTTGTGAAAAAAAATTGTCAGGTTGTATAAAACTGTGAAATTTCTCCACTTGATTTTAAATCTTATTGCATCATAAATAGGATTCGAAATCAATTGTGGAAATTTGACATATTGTGGTCCTAACGTAACGTGCAGTCATGTGTTCTTCGGAAACAATATTCATATGCTATCTTTAATTGTTCGTCTGGTCAAACTTACTAATAAAATAAAGACAAAAAATTCGATTGTTTGTATTGAATAGGCTCCAAAAGTAATGGACCCATTTTGAACTTGAATATGAACACTTTGACAATCGTCAGACACATTGCAAAATTACATTCAAATATGTCAAGAAAATAAAATAACATGTAACTTGATTAAAAGTTTAGACTTATGAATACGTAATGACTATATTTTTTTTTAAATAACCCAAGCATTATAAAATGGCCACTCCTAATAGTTCCCCACTAAGTAGCAGGATTTTATAAAATCAGCCGTTTTGTGGAACGGTCCAAATGTCATAATGAATTAATTAGAAAACTAGGTGTGAATATCGATGCTGGAAAGCAAACACGTAATAACCCGCACAAAACGTCTATGGTAACAAATAAGGTATTTCTTAGTCAATTTATCTTAGTCCGCTGGTACCTTACTCATAGATCTACACTCCCCTCCCGCACACGCACCCCAGCCTTGGTAACGTTCACTTTGTAACGGGCCGTGGAGCAGAAATCTTAATTTAATTTCGCCATAACTTCAAAACCAAACGTCAAATTTTAATCACCCAAAGACCAAATATTATCTACATAAACTGTACTTAGTGATGAAATTTATTTTAAAAAGGATTAATAGCACGAGTAAAATAAACGCGTTTAAATGTAGTCCAAAAAAAATTTCAAGATTTTTCAATTAAAAAAATGGTTGTTGTGCCTCACTCGACATAGATAGGTATAGTGTGTCGCGAACATTTTGTAGATATTTATAAGATCTACAATTAATTAGAACAGTCTATCTTTTATAGTTTCGGCAGTGTACGCAAAATAAGTAAATTGTCTGGTTAATTTTTTAAACCTTGTGTCAGAAAAAAAGTCAAATATCTTCGTCAAGTATCGTCTACGTGTTTGCTTTCTAGCGTCGATATATTTTACAAGCGAGAAATGTATTTTGAAGTACGAATGCGTACGCTGTACCAGCCAGTTAATAGACAGTGTTTTTTAGCCGCTCGGCTGAAACTTCCCCGCATTCCCCCCGCCCACGTGACAGCTTTACAACGTATCCTCGCACCGTACATTAACGATCATTTTCAAATCTCCGATATAAATCCTTGTACGACATATTTACCTCGCAGTTTTGATGGAGAAACAGTCTTAATGTTGGTTACAAGAAAGTGTCAATTTCAGCACAATCCATTTTAAACGTTAACTTAGACGTATTAAAGCTTTTATACTGGTGGCAATTCTGATGTTGACACTACACTAAATTTAAACCATGTCAAATTGCGTTTTCAATTCTATAACTAATACATTAGAAGTAAACTATACAGTTGTATAATTTTTTTTTTGGTTACTTATGACTACGGATTAATGTTAAAACAAACTAGTACAGTTATAGTTTGAAACGAGGCCTGAAGTTAGTCCTTGGTCTGAATCATTGGTCGAATAAAGCAAATGTACAATGACAAAAGAGAAAACGGTAGTTTAAAGTGGTACAACAGAATTGACATCATTGTACATGTATAGAAAATATGACACAAATCACAAATCATAGTTACGAGAATTTTTATTTTATCACCATTTACAATTACCTAACTTAACTAATCGACGTCTAATCAACAGAAAATGTCAAAAACTAAGTATATATCACAAGCTTTAAAATATGATCGCTTTTAACAAGATTGATACAGAGTGGTAAGTGTAAGTTTTACGCTAACGCGTTCACTAGTGAGCGCGTTAAGAATTTGTAGTTCTTGGTAGTTACCGCTAGAGGCGCTGTACCGGATTCCATACTAAAATCTTAACGCGCTCACGATCGACAGTGAACGTAAACGTCAAAAAAACTTACACTAAGCGCTCAGAATATACAGGAAATAAGTGTAAGAGTTTAATTTTTAATATACTAACACCCTACTGATATTATATGTTTGTTACTATTTCACGCAAAAACTACTGAACGGATTTAGACGATTGGTGAACGAATCATTCTAACCCTGACTTAATATATAGGTTACTTTTTATCCCACTAAACGGTTCCCTAGGGATAAATGTAGATACTGTCAAGTCATCTTTAAAATAAATTAGGCGAAGTCGTTGGAACGTTGGTCAGTGAAAAATATAATAAGGTATCTATCTATCTTTATAAACACATTGCTTATGGTTACCTACTGTACACCGAAGATACAGATGTACCTACAAACTAAATATTATATTTTATTTGTAAATTTGTGCTTATGATATTGTAACCATTATGCACCGATTAAAAACTTACTCTATATGTATGTATAGATTGTTGTAAACTATACTACCAGCAACAGGCGTATCGTTATTTATTCATCATATACTCGTAGCTCCTAAGAAGCTCCTTCGCTCATCCATGAATACCATGAATATATCGCAGACCCTGCTTTTGCTGCGACAAGGTTCATCTTCACCTTACTTTTTCGTTTTAATTACTTCAACATGTTTATAATATTACTGAAAGGTCAATGAGTGTCTTTCTTGTCATTACTTCATGTAACCAACTGGTATAACTGGTCTATAAATTCAAACACTTTATTTTATATTATTGTTGATCGTTAATGACCAATTTCTTAGAAACTTGACAGCAATAATTGTACACTCAATCTGTTCACAACTAACCGGTTTGATTTTATTTAACTATACTTTTTTAACATATATTTGTAGGTAATTGAAATAGATTATAAAATAAAATTACAAATGTCAGTGTGTGCAAAACAAGCGGTCGTATCATTTATAAAATCAATAACAGAACTTTTACGACAATGGATAAGAACACTAAAATCACCTTTATTTTAGTTCACAAAAAATCTAATTTTATGTTCATTCATTCATTCAACTCCAGTTATTTCAGTTGTGTTCAAGCGTAACGGATATTTTTATAAATCCCGTCTACTTTTAAGAATTATAAATGTCATATTAAGTCCTATTATAAATTTTAAAAAAGGTACCTATTTACTATTTTCACTTGTAAAAAGTGAAATAAAGACAGTAAAAATAAAACTGTATTTTTACAACGAAACTATAAATACAGACATCTACTTGGAATGAAGAACAAAGACGAAGTGAAGAAGGCTTCAATTGTATTATCGATTGGCTTAGAAATAATATACTGACCCTTAACTTTAAGACGAAATATATCGCTTTTTGTATATATAAAAAACAATAACTTCATTTAAATATAACGGCACACACTTGCAAAACATCATCAAACTGCAATTGTTACTTTCTATCATCTGTATCATCCATGAAATATCTTGGTATTAATGTTGATCACAATCTTAATTGGAAAAACCAAATTGAGACACTAAGTGGAAAAGTTAGAAAATGAATTTGTATATTCAAAAAACTCAGAAATATGAAAGACTTAAACTTACTAAAAACTGTTTACTTCTCACTTTGTCAATCTACTAAACTACAGTGTGACAGATTGGGGTATAGCAAAAAGATCTCATTTTACAAAATTAGAGCGTGCACAACGAGCAATAATTAAAGTAAAAATTTCCAATACCATACCACAAAATTATACCATGAGTTTTCTGTATTAACAGTACGGCAACTATTTATAAAATCCACCATACTCAAACAGCATCGTATTAAACCGCCTCCCACTATTTCAACAAGACGAATAGCTAAAGCATTAACGTTCCCACCTATAAAACTAAATTTAATCGAAATTGTTACAATTATCAAGGCCCCTCGCTATACAACAAAATCAGGAAAGAAATTCCAAGCCTACGTGAAAAAAGTTATTATATTTGTCAAAAGTTAATTATCATGTATTTCTTTAAGTAACAAAACACAAACTAAGAAAATGTAAATCAATACTATATGTATGATTATGTATTTATTTGAAATATTATATAATTCACTAGTATATTAACAATTCAATAGATAATGAATTTATAAAGAACTGAATGAATTCTAATTTCATAGCACATTACGGGTTACTAGGTGTTAAGCGTTTGCTATCTGTTTTCTTTGCATATACTGTTCAAGATTTTATAATGGACGATACTGGGCTGCCGCAATATGGTTTTTTTAACCAGTGTGGAGGGTAGTTGTCGAATCGTGCATTTCACCTTTTCTATTCTCTTGTTTCAAACAAACAATCAAATTTGTTTGTTTGAAACTTATTAGGCAGAAAGTATCCAAACCATAAAAAATATAAAATAGGGATTTTGTTATCGAAACTATAAATTGGTTGTACATGTGGAATGGTAGAGGTAGTGTTTTGGTAGCTAAAGCGAATTTTTGCCAACGATTTGTTGTTTTTAGATAAATTTATTTAAATATTATATTATTTATAACTTCCTTTACCAACTTACATTATTTATTACAGACATTAAAGTGAAAAAAAAGGATATTGTCTGAAACTAGCGCGCATGTAATGTTCATAGTAAATCTACTACCTTATTTTCAACATAACATAGATAAGTATAGGATTTGTGTCTTTGAGGTCATTTTATCGCTTCTATGTTTATCAATGTAATTGGAAGTCGTAGGTATCCTGTTTAAGCACTAGTACATACAGCTGTTAACGTTAACCTTTAATTGCATGTTACAAACTATTATAATTATAATAACACAGCCTAATAAAATGACTTAATCTAGGCTACGCATGAGTGACACTTTTGTAAACTGCGTTGCAAATCGTAAGACTTGAAAAGTATAACAATATCAATTGTTAACAATTATTATCGTGGACAAATCTGCTTAAGAACTTCTTCGTTAGACATAGAGCTAGTCGGTTGACACATCTTGAATGGAATAGTGCTGTAAAGTTTTCTTCTTTGAGCGTCTTCCAGTAGAGTACGCCATTGTTGATTTCTCTATAAAATAAAGAGCTTCTAATTAGATCGACACAATTAATATATAAAGTATAACAGGGAATACACCTCAGACAAAAAAATAAAGGTAATTTTTTCAAAGAAATTCACTTTTCTCAGTTTCTAAAGAATGAGTTTATTTTTAGCTTTTACTCGCGACTTTATACTTGTGGTATACTTATTTTGGGCAGCGTTTCTTTTATTAGGCCACTTATCTTAGTATATTATTTATTTCGCAATCAAGTTTTTCGTGATAAAGTGTTTCCTAATGTATGTGTCTGTGGATGTGTGCATTCAAGCTGATCGAGGTCGATTAAGAACGTTTTAGATCGAATTAAAATAAAGCTCAATTTTCATTGTTATTTGTCCTGTGATGGATTTTATTAAAAGTTTTAAAAAGTCTTATCACATCGACTCGAGTTTCCTTTTCGTTTGTTACAACTGACATCTTAAACTCCAATATTATTAGTGCAACGTCTTCCCAACAACACACTCACATATATATAATAGAGGACTTTAATAAAGTCTATGTAAATATTTTTCAACATAAGTTTGTTTTTGTCTTGAGAATAATTATTAAAAAGTGCAAAAGAAATGTGGTAACTTCAATATATTCAAACGCCATGCTACTTCTCAGAGCGGATGTGACGAAACTGAACACACATAGGGATGTCGTTCTTACAAAAAGTTAAACTTCGAACCAATAACATCAATGTATTGCGACATACGCAAAATAAACAACAGCTTACAATTTAAACGATGTTTTATTTTTATTTCACCAATTTGGTAAACTATATGATTATTAAAAAAGTCTTATGAAAAATGCTTAGAAAATCCACTTTGTCCCTGGCACTTTGAGACTCGAACCTACGGTCTTTCGCAATCCGGACGACTTCTCTAACCACAGAGCTACCCAAGATCTAACAGGAAAATTTGTTTTATTTATTATTTTTGACAAATTTTGCATTTACAATGCTATACTGAAAAAAACCCTTAATGAAAATGTTTTTTTTTTAAATAACATTATGAACAATGATATTACAATAAAAAAGGGTAGTTAGGTTACTTGAATTCAAAAACTATCACCTTAAATCTAAGCTAATTATCATACCTGAGCGCAGTCTGAGGAAAGCGTTGATTGTGTGCGTTTATGTACCATGATAATTTTAAAAAAGTCATCCTGTGTTATTCGAAATTGTAGAAACAACATAAAGTAAGTTGTCTAAAGACCAAGAGTTCACATTTCATTCGTAAGTATACACTTTTGATTGATTTGCGTTTTAATCAGAAAATAAATAACGTATCATAGAAAGAAAAGAGTAATTACTCCGGTTACAAATCGTGAAAAAGATCTGTCAAAGATTACGTAAGTTACAGAACGGACAATTCGAGTTTAGTACCTACGCTCTACTTTACATTTATTTGAATATATATATGAAACTGAAACTTCCGAAACTCCGGAGTTTGAATTCGGAGCATGGAAACCTAACTCCGGAGCCAAAAATATCTCCGATTCCGATTTCGATCGAAGCTCTCGTGTTTATTATACATATTATATATCAGTGTCAGCTTTATTTTATCGCTTGAAAACCACTTGTTACGTAAAAGTAACTTGAAATAATCGTCAGGTCCTGGGTAGCTCAGTGGTTAGAGCAGTCGCCCGGATTGCGAAAGGTCGTGGGTTCGATTCCCATCTCAGGGTGCCAGAGACAAAGTGGATTTTTAAAAAATTTTGTATTAAGAATATTTTTCAGCATGGCATTGTGAATGCAAAATTAATCAAAATATAATAACAAGTCTATTATACTTAAAAAAACGACTTTAGTTCTATTATTCGTAAACTATTGTTGAACATGTTATAATAGTTTATGAATAATTAGAGAGTATCGTGCCATGTGCGTGTGTATATGCTGGAGACAATTTTTGACATCGTATTAGTACTGACATGGCCAATCTACCCTTTTAATTGTAATATCATTGATTGTGAATATAAAATTGATAACTATAAAAAGTATAAATATAACAAGTCTATTATACTTAAAAAAAAAAAACGATTTGTTGATAAACGATTTCGTTAACTGAATAATAATCAATCACTCAAAATCCATATGAATTTAAAATGTCACATCACATGTCTCTAGTCGTGTACTTTGACGTCACGACAAGCGCGCCAAAAATAAACTGCTCGTAATTGTTACTTATTTCATTCAATTATTATTGCTACTAAATTTTAGTTTTTCGCTGTAAAATGATTTTTTACAGTTGAACAATGTAAATTAACGTATGAAAACAATTTTAATAAATGTGCATATCCAATATTGGCCTGCCGACTTAAGAGAGTTTCTGTAAACTTTCAATTTGTGTGTAAGCAACTCACCAGTATGGCGTGCGGGTTGAGGCAGACCAATAGCGCGTGTCGAGCTCTCGTCAGCATTACATTCATTCTGCCGGCGTCGGTGAGGAAACCGACGCCGTGACTGCGCGCCAGTGACACCACCACCACATCCCTCTCCTGACCTTGGAAGCTGTCCACCGTGTTCACCTCCACCTGGTCTTCCGTCCTGTTGAAATGTCAAAAGTACCGAGTTTCCCGTCACATTTAACGTCTTGACCTTATAAGACGAATGAGCCAAAGGTTACAATAAAATAAATAAACACATTTTTAAAGATTATGGGAATATATAGGGCTTTCATGATAGCCAATTATTGTGTTATACAACATTGTTCAAATTAAATTTATGCTATTTAAAAATACATATGTCATAGGATAAGGACAGAACAGAATAAGAACACATTAATTCATTTAATGTGTTACAATGATATGTTGTTCTATAGTGAGCACAATCTAAAAAGTGACCGATAAAAAACATGTAAACCCAAAGTGGTTCTACTGCTAGGATCACGAAATAGCTTAAAGCTTCGATGACACGAACATTTGTGTAGCACTCTGAGAGAAGTTTGCTGTAGTAGACAACAATACTAAATTTCGTTTTCGCAGAAACAGGCCTTCAGGTATCATGTTGATTTGTACTGGTTGTACTTATAAAATACTCACGGATTGAGTAACTGCCGTATGTTTCTCTTGATCAGTTCCTTGTGCGCGTTATATGGCGTGATGACGGCGATACTGAGGCCGCGCGTGCGCACCGCGCCGCTGAGGGCGGCCACCAATCGGGAAACGCCCCACGCCTCCATCTCGTTCGCACCCGCCGCATCTGACGTCATAAATTATAGTCACTTTTGCGTTACGTATTATTACAACCTAGTATAAACAACAATTATCCATTAAACTATAATTAGTTTATATAGTATTAATATATTTATATAGAGACGTGTCGCTAAGGGGAGGGGGGAGATTCTAAAAGGTTTCCTAATGTAATCATCATTAACGACCATTCCCTTAGGGGGCGTCCATAAATTACGTGAGGTGTTTTTTTTAATTTTCTGACCCTCCCTCCCCCCCTGGTGAGATGTCGTGAGATTTTATTCAACCGGCTCCCCTATTCCCCAATCTCACGTGAGATTTTTCAAAATGCAATTTGATGAGTACTTGCGAGTATTTGCCTTGTTGTAGTATCGAGTATAGCTTTTGAAAGTATCAATGCCTACTCGATATCGAAAGTATCGTTCGAACCCTACAAATATGGTGGTTTGACATTCAGTAGATGTATAGCGTCGAAGTATGAATGAAATTATTTTCTTTTGAAAGAATTAGTGAATGATCTTAATCGTATACGATTACGCTTAAGATTAAATCTTAAGCATGTACAATCTGGATTAAATGAACCAAAATAGTATTTTTTTGTTTTTGTTTCAATCAGAAAAAAAATTGCGTGATATTTGCAGAGACCCCCCCTCTCTTCAACGTAAGATTAGATGAGATTTGCCTCGACCCCCTCCCCCCCTTAAACATCTCACGTAATTTATGGACGCCCCCTTACTAATTACCAACTTACCATCTACGCTCTGCTCTATGCTTTTGTTTAAGCGGGAGAACGGAGTGATGTACATACGAAACCTCGAATATTTTATTTATATTTACAAGTTTTATTTATTCTACAGTCAAGAGCTCGTGTAACTTTACAAGTTGGACTCTGTACTGTTGTTATTATAAGTGCTGTAGCTACTTATAAGTGCTGTAGCTACTTATGGAGAGTGAGCTAAGTATGAAATGACATACTTACCTCACTCTCCATAATAAACTTGCCTCCTCCCCCCTGGGCTATCAGCTGGCGATACCCCAGGGTCGAAGTCCCGAAAGCATAGCGATAAGATGTCGTAACCCAAGACTAATATCATGGCTACAGAGTAAAGCGGTCACACTCCAGGGCGATGTGGCGTAACAGTAATGTCACGGAATATCTAAAATGAAGGTACACGTAGTATCCCTATACTCACTCTGTCCTTTGTCGCCACTAGAGATGCCTAGCAGCATGTAGACTGGTATCGGTATATCAGGCCGATGTGGGGCAACAGTATGCACGCGCGATGCGTAGAAAGCTCGGTTAGGATAATCAGCAATGGCCGCCTGCATGCGGTACTGGTGGTCCAGTAACGCGACCGGTGCACAATGCCACGTTTCCGCACAAGACGACAGCCTTGAGAACAGACTTTCGCCTAAACCGTATTTCTTCGCACGCTACGGATGATAAATTCGATTAAATCTCAGTTTATATCTGTATATTAAATTTCTAAATTGCTATGTATATCTGTAAATTTCCATCACGTTGGGATTATATTGTTGTAATAAATGTCTCACTACGAACCTAGATAAATAGAAATTTATCGGAATATAAAATCCATCCTATTAAATATAAACTTTATGACATAAGCATAAATTTGAGGGTTTTTTAAATTTAAATGTAGATATATTTCAATGAATAAGCTTTAAATGATATGCATACAGTGGAGACAGTTTTCTGTCTTGTGGTGAATGTTACATTTGAATGATGAAGGTTCTTGACTCGAATAAAAATCTAAGTAGATTAAAAGATTTTTTTTAAATATATAATAAAATGTACTCCATACTTATAGCATTATGAGTGGCACAGTGTATGTGTAAGTTTGTCGTTTTTAAGTCGCAACTGAGTGTCGTTATGATCTACTTTTTTCAGGTAACTAGGAAGAAAGTGACAAAGGTATTTTTTTACTGCGAAATCCTATCTTTTTCTCACGGGATGTTTCATTATATTGCGTTTTCCTTTGACCACGAGAACGAAGCATATATCGCTCACTGAATACTACAGTGGCACAACTCAAAAACCATTTTTTCGAGAAAACGCCACAACATTGTGGTGGCATTCCATAGATAATTTAGTGAAAAAATAAAAAACTTAACAGTAATAATATAATACAAACGATTTAACTGTTGTGCTAAAAAAAATTGATTTTCATAATTATAAATATATTAAATTTTCATAACTTCGGAGAGCGTTTCTCGAAATATGGTTTTTGAGTTGTGCCACTGTAGTATTCAGTGAGCGATATATAATAACATTATAATAATAAAGACAACTACTGAGTTGATTGATTAACGTATTTAATAGCAATTATATTTATATACTAGGTGAAGCGTTATATTTATATACCTGCGAGCAGATGTAACCCGGTAACTGCTGTGGGTCTCCAATCAATGTAAGATTGGTGACGTCGAGGGTGAGTGGTATCAAAGTCTCCGGTTCAATGGCTTGTCCCGCTTCGTCTACTATGCATAACGCTATGCGACGTTTCAGCCTACCATTTTACACAACAAAGAATAAGGTTAGAATAACAATCATCTAATTCTAAAGTATCAATACATTTTCTATCTTCGGCTCTCTTGGACATGCTTGACATTTGCATTTTTGTTACCAGCTTCACTGTTTTGTGTTCAACTTACACTAAAGTTGTGTTTAAATTACACTTATTAAGCAAATATTAACGTGCTATGTCTTTTATAATTTTAACGTTGTTGGACTATTTTTTTATAATTCTATATATAGTGAAAGGGATAATTATGAAAAATAAAAAGGTTTTATTTTCTGGCTTTCTGAAAAGCTTCAGAGCTAGAAACCTAATCTCATTAACATACTACAGCATTTCCATACTATTGAATATTAACTATGATGTAATGTAATGTAACTATAAGGGCTCACTATTTGTTTTGACTTGTTGCTCAGTACTACCGATATAGGTATAATATAAATTTCAACTGACCCCCTCATTTTGTGATTGTGTGCACTGGCTAGTGTGGTGACAACTATATCGGCGCCTTCAATGATGCGCCGCTCCGAGCTTATTAGTTGTTCAGGCCGTAGCTCGTCGACGCTGTTGCCAGTTCGTAGCTGATCAAATACATTATTACCAAATATAGTAGTACATTTTACACGGTACATTTCAAAAATTAAAGAAGTTTTTTATTTGATGAAAGTTTTTGTGTATGTTACAAATTTTTCATTTCAAAGTCAGACGTAATTGGCTCTAATGGCTCCGTCATCGCCCACCCAGCGAAAAAATCAATTTTATTGACAATAAGTTTGCTTGAAGCGGCATATTAATCGATTAACGAAATAATTATATGTTATTGTATTTTTTTTTGTAATGGAAAGTGACCTATAATCTAATGAAGTCAGTTTTTAACTGGACTTCATTGTATGAAGTAGAACGGAGAAAACAGCAACCGTTGCTGAGTGTTAGTTCTTATTAGTATCGCCGTAAGTTTGAGGACTGATGGCATAGCATTCGACATCAACAAATGCTTGTAACAGCCTATACTGAATATATGATATTGAATACATGAAACTTTTACATATCTATCATTTATCTTAGATTATTTCCTTACCACGGCAATACGCTTGTTCAGCTCAGTGACGCGACTCTCGCAGTATGCCACCCGCATGTCGTCTTTTCTTTCGAAAGCGTGCTGTGCCGATGTTTTCCACATATTTATTTTAGCTTCTAGTCGAGATATCTGAAATATTTTTTTGAAAATTCCTTTGGTCATGTTATCTGTAACTTAAATCCGTAGAGAATACTACACTGAATAAAAACTTTTTAAAAAAAGGTCCACTACGTTGTCGAATAAAAAAAAAAGAATTTTGAAATTCGATCAAAATTAGCGATAATATCGGTGAACATACTTAAAAAACACATCGTCGCCGAACATTTAACATCCTTCTTTTCGATTTTGAAGTCCGTTGAAACATGGAACGTGTTGCGTTATTTTAATCTGAGTAGTAGGTAGTATATGCGTTTTCTCTTTTGTAATTCTAACATTACTGAACATTCTTTGCAGTCGAATGATTGTGTTACAAAAAAAAAAACAGTTTAATAATAAATTACCTCCTCGTTGAGACCTGGGTGTGTGGGCGGTTCTTGTTGTGAACGTAATTCCCGTTGCGCGAGATTCTGCGAGCTAATTTCACGAGCTCGCGGGTGCATCGCCTCCGCTCGACCAACGCGAACCATGCGAAACCTTTCTTCTATTAATTAAACAAAATAATTTATTAGCGGACTCCGTGAACTTCATGTCGCTTTAAGGAGACTGTTTTGCGAAGCAACAGTTGCCGTGTGTGAATTACTAGGACCAAAACACGGTCCGTTATGACGGGGAGTCGTGTGGCATCGACATCACATTACGATGAAGACAGTGATTATATTTCTGTGTGATTGTTAGTAATTATATTTCTGTGCGATTGTTTGACATTCAGTGACAACAAGTGTTTACCATGTTAGTGTGTAATACTTTTAATTTTTGTAATGCTTCGTATTTATGATATGATATAATTGTGTAACGACTTGCCTAAGTTGCGAAATGTAACAAAGGGTAAATAAAGGATTGACTTAAATTGAAGTGAGAACTAATTTCACAACTTGATATGTTTGATATGGTGTCGTGAATTATAATAAAATTAGAATGGGATTATTATAGTCGCATTAAGTTTGTTTCAAGCTACTAAATAATGAGATGACCGTGACTAGAATGTAAAAATTGTAAAGGACCTCGGTGCTACATTAGGTACTTAGGGACCGTCCATAAATTACGTCACACAAAATTCATGATTTTTAAACCCCATCCTCACCCTCATGCCTGTTTGTCTATACAAATACTACTAAATATTGTTCTAATGTCACAGTTCGTCGTTCATCAAAAATAGTTGATCTGTTTAGTTGGTCAGAGTGGAAAGACAGGCGTGCTTAACTTTAAATTCTCAATTCAGAAAACAGATATACCACTGTCAGATCCTACCTCCGTTGCATTATAATTTATCAAAAATGCATTTTTATGGAGTCTTAATTTCTATAGATGACATTTCGTTTTCGTAGAAACAGAATAAGCTTTTAGGTATGACACCTGAAATCTTATTAACTCCTATGAGTAGAGTTGTTTATAAACACTCACGTTTAGGTAATTGCTGTCTGATATTAAGCAATCTTAAGACCAATTCGTCAACAGCTGCGTTACTCGTTGCGCAAATTAAAATTTTGCCTCTATTCTGTTGCCTTTTACATGCTGCATCGTAAAAATATGTCATGACGATGGAACATATTACACTTGATTTTCCTGAAATGAAATTTATGAAGTGGATACATACACATCTACATGTGTTTGATATGAGTTATTAATAAAAATAAATAATAATAAATCTATCTACATCTTTATTGTAGACAACAATGTCCTACTAGTATGGTGGCGAAATAGGTATATATTTCTATTGGATCTTTTTATCTATCGTTGTTCACTGTTAGAGTCAAAATGTTATAAGTCGGATTGATAAAATAAATGTTTTAAAAAGTTCTTTATTATTAAGAGATAATAGTTTTAATATATTTTAAGGTAGTTTACCTGTTCCTGGAGGTCCTTGCACCATTTGTATACTGGGTTGATCACCAAGTGCCGCCAATACAGAATTTTTTACTGCAGAATACTGACTTGTATTCAGTGTATTTGTCCACTAAAAAATATGACTATTTTAAACAAAAACATAATCATTATATTTGGTCAATTTTGCATTTGTAATGCTACATCTATATTTCCATAAAGAAAAATATATTTTTTAGGGGAAATAACAACTTTATATATTTGCGGATAAATTTTTAGAGGTTTTAAGTAATATGTGTATACACAATAGAGAAAATTTTGTAGACAGTGAATAAAATTTTATATTGTGATCGTTACAGTAAATATTCATGTTTGTCTATAAACACGTTGCTACTTATGAATTGAAATCTTTTTCTATATTAATTGTTTGTTCCATTCCCTATTTTATTTGTACTTGTACAACGCCCTCTTTGAGCGGAGTATGCGGACTTGAAATATAAAAACCATAGACAATATAGTACAGAGACTGGACAAATACATGACAAGTAGACACTGGCTAAATCATAAAGGAGCATTATGGAAAAAAATTGAATTCGAAAACAACGGAATACTAATAGTAAAATGAGAATGTTAATTAATATTTAAGTGATAATTTTTAATACAAAATATTAAAAAGGCATTATTTTTAATCAGCAATGCTTTAAAATCCACCAGCTTTAAGGCTTTTTTCATTAAAAATATTTATCAGTATAGCATTGTGAATGTAAAGTTGATCAAATATAATAATGAAAGTCATTATTTTTACGGCTTGTGATAACGTTTTGCACGTTTATTAGTCTAAACATCATAACGAAATAAAAAACATAAATAAAAAATTAAACACATAAATTAAGTAAAGTCTTGCGACCCTGTCACAATAAAATTGTATTAATATACATATAAACCAGTAATAAGTAACCAGTAGTAAGTAACCAGTAAAAAGTAAGGTTTTAAACTGTTTTTTTAGAGCAATTTAATTTGGCCAACCGTTACAAACTAAATTGCTCTCCATACTGTGAAGAAATGGGCGTCAAGGACCATTCACTGCTTTTCCATACTGAAGTGAGATGGTCGTCGCCTGAAAAACTTCTTACAAGGCTTTTTAAATTTCGACATGAATTAAAAATCTTTTTTTACAGATATAAATAGATCATAAAATTTTTACAAATCTTTATTACTATTGACTTACTTTAGTGACATAATTTCACATTTGAATGACTTAAATACGAGTTTACAAGGCCGTAACAAAAATATTTTACTTATGACAGCAAAAGTCAATTACTTAAGTGTTTGGATAATACGCCTTGAAAAACGAAATTTGGATGCATTTTCGGAATATATTAATAGAAATTCGAATATAGAAAATTCGGTTATTGACCGTCTGTTGAGAGCATGAAAACGCATTTAGGTGAATTGCGATGCTATTATAGGAATATTTTCAAAATGACAATAACGATTTATCGAAAAGATGGTTTTCAAACTGTTTGATGACAATAATATTGCAGCTGCTGAGTTACGAAATTACACTCATAATCAACTCATTGAAAAACTTTACAACTAATTTTCACCCCAAGATTTAGATAAATTTTGGCTTGCGTACGAAAACGAGATGAGTACGGAAGTCTAGTAATGAAAGCTTTGAAAACATTGAAACTCTTTGCTACTTCTTACTTATGCGAAAAAGGTTTCTCGTCTATAGTCGATTCCGCTCTCAGCTTTCGTTGCGCGCCCCCGTGCGCGAAACGAAACGACTCTCTTCTACCCAAACTGTGAGTACATCTCGTGCCTTCTGCACACCCCGAGCGCAGGCCCTGCTGCTTTTGTTTTTCTCAAAACATTAAAACAGTAGGACTTGACTCACTTTCAACCTCTTGAGTCGGTGGATACCATACGGTGTCAACTAAGCCGGCTGAGCGATCCCGGTGCGCTCGCTAAAGCCCCTCAGGCTTAAGCAACACCGAAGACCCGATCCCAGTGCACTTGGGCCTTGTCCCAAGGGTGAAGGATTGCCGCTAACTCTATTAGGGATAGCCGCATTTTCCGCGTCCCCCTTCCCCCCTCGCTCCGGCGCGGGGCCGGTCTTTTTGCACACTCGCCCTATCTCCCTCTAACCTACCAAGGTAGGTGTGACGGTGTGACTCTCTCTCTTGCATTTAACGGTTTGCATTGCCGATATGTCGGATTTGCTCAAGCAAAAAAAAACTCCTATTCGTTGAGCTACAGCGCGTATTGCCTGATAGCCTCTACCAAGCCGTCCTTAGCGCGGCGATGTCAACATTACAGGCATCCCCCCCCCTCCAACTTCCGCAATGGAGTGTGAAAGCACATCCATAAAGAGGACCGCTTCACAGCGCCCCCCCCCCGCCTTCGCCGTCGGACGACGACATTCTCAGGACGTCCGATTCCGACGAATCATCAACAAATTCATTTCATACGGTGAGAAAACACAAGAAGCGTCGTAAGCCACGCTCCCCCATACTAAGTGCGTACGCTTCCTCGGACAGCTCTCTCTGGCTCTACTCATCATTCCAAATGTCCCTAACGCTCGTGACATTTTCAAGGCTAAAGACCTTAGGGTCTGCGGCCTTACCGGGGTTAAAGTAGAACCCCCTCACCGACGCGGTACCCCGGGACAGTGCTACCGCTTTACGGACATGCGGCGGCTAACTATTCCGCGACTCCGAGGTGCGTAAAGTGCCTCGAGTCACATCCCACAAAGGAGTGCTCTCGAACTCGACACTCTCACCCCCCCAGCCTGTGTACTGTGTGGTCAAATCGGCCATACAGCCAACTATAAAGGTTGCCCACGAGCGGTAAGGGCCCGGGGGTCAACAAAGCACTTAAAGCCATGGATCTCCTTACGAGACCCAGTAGGCCAAATCCACCCCCATCATACTGACCCTTCAGGTCAACTCTCTCTGCCCTCTCGACCTGACATCCCCTCAGGATGCAGGCCACACAAATTGTTACGGGCATCAAATAGCACCCTTCTGGTGGTATGTGATGCTCCCCCCCCGCCCTCCACACGCCGACCCTTCAGGTCATACCCCCGTCCGATCTGGTTGATCGTTCCCCTTTAGGGAATCAGCTGAATTACGATGGGTTAACAGTAACATCTCGATGTCACAATTCACGTAGGTAAATAGTGACGTCTGCACCGCGGGGGGGTGGTCGCTCCGGTCGAAGGTTCGTTGCCTCCGGGCATGTAACTAGCTATCCAAGGCGGTGTTTAGTCAGTAGGAGTCTGACATAACCATGTTATGAGAAGGGACGAAAATCATGTTACGAAAACAGTGATGGGTATGCATGTGGATGGATATGTGAGTAGAGGCAGACCGAAGAAAAGATGGATCGACTGTGTGAAAGAGGATATGAATAAGAAAGGTGTGGATGTGAGGCTGACGTCTGACAGAGAAGAATGGAAGAAGAAAACATGTTGTGCCGACCCCACGTAACGTGGGATAATGGGCAGGAGGATGATGAGTCTGATATAACCTCACAGCCGGCTGTGTGGTATCCAATGAAGGATTCACCGCCTCCTTCCCCCGTTGGGAGGGTGGTTCCGAACCCTTAAGGTTGAGAGCCGAAAAAAAAAATCGTCTAGTGACTTGTCTTATCTCGTCTAAAGAGAACACTAAATCGTCTGTTATCACTTCAAAATAATTTATTTATGAGTGTTTGCACATATAGAAATACTTTTAAGTGAGAAACCAAGTGTCGCACATCAATGACTATCAGTTAATTTTTTTATGTTATTTTTTATATCTTAATATTTAGTTTTATAACATTACATTAGATAAAATACACTCCTTTAATGAACGAATCTTTTGTACCTATATGTATTTTGTATTTATTATTTTTCAACAAAGCCGACCCCCATTTAAAAACTAACTCAACCCCTGTGGGTCGCAACCCCCGCTTGAGAAACGAGTGATAAGATATATAGAGGGTTATTAATAAGATACGTGCAACTTCACATGGCTAACAGCTAACATCTTATACAACATTTGATTTACGAATTTGACACATGAACTCGAATATGACTCAATACTTTAAACAAAAATATTTTACAAGTTTTATTTTGCTGTCTTGAGATTTATATGTCTATGTTTCATTAAAAACGAAAGCATGTCGATCCTACTCTCACGCAATATGTGTAATATCAACATATTGTGTTGCGTGTGGAGCCGTTAACATTTCACCAATAAATTAAATTAAAGTTTATTTTTGTATGAAAACCAATTATCAAAACTCGTAGAACGAAATGTTGTTGTTAATGATGTTGGCTCTTAGTTTTACAATGTTGTTGGTTTTCATAAACTAACTAGAAAACGATTATATATACGAAACTTAACTCTTGACTCACCGGATTATTAATATTGATAGGAACATTACTATCTTTCCTCATAAAATGTCGTGGTTCTGGCGTGAGGATGGCCTCACTCAGAGGAGAGCCAGCCATGTAGGCCATCGCTTCAAAGAGTGAAAGCTCCTTACTTATATAAGCCAAATTAATTCCTATCATCATATCACCAGGCTTCAAGAGTTTAATTTTCTCCGTAAAAGTTGCATGTAGAGATATATTATAAAAAGAGTTTCTATTACCTAAAAAAATATAAACATTAGATGGAAACTAACAAATAAATGCTGGAGTATGTCTTAGATGATAATGATATTTCATACGGCACAGTCCTATTCAGGTGCACCAAAATGTATATTTTTAAAAATAAAATATTATTATTTATTTCTATATTTGTTCTTTACAATATATATTACTGACTTGGTGGTGAAGGCAGACTTCTAACATTATGTACAAAGAAAAATCTTTGATGCCTAGCATTCTCAGGCCCGAATGAAACAAGTAATACTTCACCCACCCTGGGTAAATTTCTAATATCTGTTGTGGGCAGGGATACTGAAAAGAAAATAATATTTCACTGAATTAAATATCACCAGAAAAAAAAAAAACAATGAAGAAGTGATCTTTCCTTACCATCAACACTTAAATTAAATATATCAAAGTGGCGTTCTGGAGTAGGAACGGGCGGTAATGTGGCTATCCTCATTTGTAAGCCAATAGCTTGATTACGTATTTTCATGTACGCTATCGATAGGCATTCCCAAATTTCCATAAGTAACAAATCACCTATTAATCTGTCAAATAAGACAAAAGTTTATTATTTATGATCGTATTTTTAATTTTAATGTAATCCTTCTCAATTTGAAATAATTCCGTTGTACTGTTATAGATGTCTAATATTTATTTATGCAAGCGGTGCGCAGTTGATTTTTGTGAATTAATTTTATTGGTTGATTAATGGTTTATCGACAAATGTTTAACGAAACCATAGAGTTAGCCTGCACTCCACTTGCATGTCCTATCGTCCAGTGTAAATGAGCCTTAAGGATGTCAGTCCAGCTTGTAAACTTATTTTACCTATCTATGATGAAATTTTTAACGATAGACGATCAGCCTGTTAAAATGATTGTGTTTTGATTGTCTTCATAAAAAAAACATACAAAAATAAGTTTAAATATCTTCATAACGCGCGGCACGTAAGATGAACCAAAATGATGAACCAAAGCGATTATCCGTACAGTTCTGGATGTTGCGTTGGTATGGTTACGCGCTGCGTCAATTCCGCACCACAATTGAGACCCGAAAATGAGTTATACTATAGTTTGTAGTTATGTACCAAATAATTCAACTTATGTGCCGAGAACTGTACTTACTGTACATATTGATGGTGATTATTAAAAGAATGAAATATAGCCATTGGAGGATTATTATGTCCTAATATGGGAGGAGGCTCATTATTGTTAATCTGTTCTTCAAGCCAATGGGGATTCCAGCGCAATATCTTCATGAGAGTGATCTTTTCCAAAGAAAACATAGGCATCTGTCTGGAATCCACTAAGGTTGTCTTCACTAAGCTAGTTTTCTTCATTTTATTGCCTTCTGCTATTTCAAAGTAATGTATTTCTGGTGCAGCTTCTGAGAAACGAACTGTCTTTTTTGGTTTTTTGTATGGTTCAACTTTAGAAAATGGTTTCCCTGCAAATGACTCTTCAGAATCTGTTAAGGGCTTTAAACTTTTCAAAGGGACTCTTGTTTCAGTAACGCTATTAGAATTTTTATCAGATTTTGAATGTTTTGATTTACTTTTACTGCTATCATGCCTATGTTTACTTTTATGTTCCTTTCTATCTTTTTTTTCAGTGTGTTTATTTTTATTTTCTATATTATCTCTGGTTTCTAACTTTCGTTCTTTCTTTTCAGTTTTGTCTGATTTTTTTGTTTCAGATTCAATTTTAGATTTTATCTCGACAGAATTATCTGTCGGGCTTAACCTTTCAGTTTTTTCATTACTAGATTTAGATTTCTGTGGGCTTTCTTTTCTTTTTGTTGGTTTTACAACTTGAATAGAATCTGTTAAAAAGGCTCCTCTGTTAGATGATGTCACTTTTATACTTGGGAATGTTTTTGTTAAATTATTGACACTATTTTTGCTGTTTGTCTGATTATTGTCTTCCTTTTCCTTAACAGCTATTTCTTTTAATTTCTTTTTCCGTTCTTCTTTTTGTGAACTGCTTATGTGCCGTTTTGAGGAATGGCTACTTTTGTCGTGTTTTTCAGTTTTATGTTTTGGTTTCGTACCTAAAAAGCAAATATAAAACACAATTAAAATAATATTCGTCATGATTTTTTTTTATTAAGACGTAGATTAATTGTGATCATTAAAATAGTTTCATATCAGTAGTTCCATCATGGCCCCCTTGAAAATGAAACATATTAATTTACGACGATACTTTTAGCGATATCATACCAAAGGCGCTCACTAAGAAAATATAATATTCCGAACCTGCGTTGAAAAGCTACTGTCATTATACGTCTTTTCAGTATATGTCATTCATTTGATGCGTTAACAACAATATTTTTTTTTTCACTCAAATATGTCGAACTTTGTTCCTGAAAAAGTGTTTTTACGGGGAGTTCTTCTTCATTATTTTAATATGAAGAAAACTGCTGCCGAAAGTCATCGTATTTTAGTGGAAGTTTATGGTGAACATGCTCTAGCTGTTTAAAGTGGTGTTTTTAGCTTGGAAGACGATGAATGTCCTGGGCAGCCAAACAAGTTTGAAGACGAAGAACTGGAAGCCTTACTCGATGAAGATTGTTGCCAAACACAAGAAGAGCTCGCAAAAACCTTTGGGTGTCACTCAAACAGCCATTTCAAAACGTTTAAAAGCAACTGGATATATTCAAAAGCAAGGAAATTGGGTTCCACATGAACTCAAGCCGAGAGACGTCGAAAGGCGGTTTTGCATGTCCGAAATGCTGCTGGAACGCCACAAAAGAAAGTAATTTTTGCATTGGATTGTATCTGGTGATGAAAAATGGATCCATTACGACAACCCCAAGCGCAAAAAATTATATGTGAAATCTGGCCAACCAGCCAAATCAACGGCAACGCCGAATGTCCATGGCGTGAAGGTAATGCTCTGTTTTTGGTGGGATCAGAAGGGTGTGCTGTATTATGAGCTGCTAAAAACGGTTGAAACCATCAATGGAGAACGCTACCGAACCCAATTAATCCGTTTGAAGAGAGTAGTTGCCGAAAAACGACCGGAATATGCGACCAGACACGAGGCACGAGGCAGAACGCCCTCACTGGAATATGTTTCACATCAGAGCAAGATATCAAAAATTGGCTTGATTCATTCTTGGCTGCTAAGCCGGCGCAGTACTTTTGGGATGGGATCCACAAATTGTCAGAAAGATGGGAAAAGGTCATAGCTTCAGATGGGCAATACTTTGAATAATACTATTGTACATGTTCTTCTTAAATAAACGTTCAAATTTAAAAAAAAAAAACAGCACGAATTAAGTTATAGGACCCATATAAAGAATCGTGACTGATCTGATGTGAGCGTTTTTATCTTGTAGAAGTAGCTACACTATTTTTCTATCATTATAAAGTGGTAAATCAATCATGTATCATTTAAGTGGGTTAGGTTAGTTGGTCAATTGTATTACTGCTAAACAAATTGGATGAGTAACGCGTTCCCTGTATTTGGCCGAATATTGCCTAATTTCGTCATTATATGTGCCAACTCTGAATTAATTACGAAGCTTATTTTTTTTTATGAACCATGGTCCATTATATAAATTTTTAAGATTTATGATGGGCTGCAAGTGATTCCCAAAATTGAATGCCATATCGGTTTTAGGATTACCTAGTAAGCTGGAGCTGTAGGACTATCTAGTAAGAAAGGAGTTTGTTGTCGATGTTCAGCACCGAGTTTCGTCCAGATAGCCACTGCAGATTTCTGTTAAGGTAGTCACTTTTTACGCAATTGGTTTTTCCAAGTTAGTCTTTGCTCTAAGTGCATACATCATCATCATCATCAGCCCTTTATTTCGTCCCCACTGCAGGGATTTAGGCCTTCTTTATGGATGGTTAAGGAGCATGGGCCATCCACGCTGGCCCAATGCGGATTGGCGGGTATTAACGACTACAAATGCAGCCGGGACTAACGGCTTAACGTGCCTTTCAAAGCACGGAGTAGCTCGATATAATAATTTTTTGGTCACCCATCCCGTGACCAACCCTTGCAAAAGTTGCTTAACGACAACAATCGCGTGCCGCGGCGCATATCCACTACGCCACCGAGCTACTCATTGTATACTAAGTGCATACTCATGTATTTAATAGAATCTCAGTGCGGCAGAATTTTTCCTTCCAATTTTATAGGTGGGCTGTCTTCTTTTGAAGGATAAATGTGGCATGAACCGATTTCAAGAAGATAGTTGATTCTCTATTTCTTTAATTATTTTTCTATTTTGTCTGGCTTCTGCTGCAGAAGCTGAGATGCTTCCTTTGGATTCTTGCTGCTAACCAGCATGAATACCATATTCAAATGTAGCAGTTAATATTCCAGTGGTTTTTGAAAGATCTGATGTAAATATTGTATACAAAATACGTCCCAACACTGATCCTTGCAGTACTCCAGCCCGTATTCTATAGAAACTTGATGAGTACTCTCCACATTTTATGTGAAAGATTTGCTGATGACATGCTGGCTAGCAGGAAGAACCTGGCACGCTTTAAAATGATCACTTTAAAATGATAGAATAAAAAAAATAGTAGAGAATGGGAGTGCTGCTCTCACAAGAAAAAACATTCACATCACATCTGCTTATAGTCATCAGAGTGATCGTAAATAAAGACATTTAAAAAAGAATTACAAGTATGCATGTTAAAATAATTAAAAAGTACAAAAAATACTTACTGCTTTGATTGACTAGATTTGATTTCTTTCGTGGTAAATGAACTTGGGGTTCAATCATTTGAGCTTTTTTAGACAAATTATTTTCGGTATTTAGTGCTAAAGCTTTATTTTGTATTTCATTGTGGTCTTTTGAACTAGTTCCATCAGGTTCATCTATTCCTATCTTATTTGGAAGTTCATTGGGTAACTTATTATGTTCTAGCTCATCTTTTGTTTCTTGTGTATCTTGTGTTTCTGATGTATTATTTTCTAAAGGTGGCAGTCCTAAATCATGTGGTTGTACAGGAATTGTAATTAAGTCATGTATATAATCTTCATCATCTGAAAACCTATCACCTATATCATCCTCAATCTGACTGTAAGAACTATCTTCTGGTTTATGATCTTTTTTCTCTCCAGGCACTTTAACAAAAGGTTTTCCAGGTGAACTTTGTGATAGTCTCAAGAACCAATGTTCTGACTCACTGTCACTATCACTGTCTATTTCAATTGGTTCATCATAACCTAAATATTCCTGTTTCACATTAAAAGCTTCCATTTCAGGGTATGTATATTCTTCTTCACCTTTTAATTGAAATTCTTTTTTAATATTCATTTCATCAGTGTTATCTAGGTTTTTATCAATTTGTTTTTGGGGCTCCTCACATATTGCCTCTAGCTTTGGTTTTTTTATAATGAAATCTTGTTTCCGTAAATTATTTTCATTGTCACTGTCTGACAACACAATACTTACAATATTGTCAATATCTATTAGTTCTTTACCATTATTCTCTATATCAATTTTTCTTTTTAGAACATTTTTCATTTCGGTATCTGGAGATTTTTTAATTTCTTTATCTGGAGATTTAATGTTACTATTGTTATGAAGATTTTCTAAATATGATATTTTTTCTTCTATTTCATCATATTCATTTTCATTTTGAAATGTGATTCTGCTAATTATTGATGCAGGAGATTGTTCTTTAATAATTTTAAAGACATATTTTTCAGTATCTTGCACTTTCCCTAAAGAAGCACCAGATATCCAACCAATACCAACAATATCTGAATCTTTCAGTGTATATGGAATATTTGGTGAAATTTTCTTTGTACCTACATAGACTCCATTTGAGCTCTGAAAAATGAAAAACAATTTAAGAGGCATAATACTAAACAAAATGCATTGTTGATAATTAATTATCATTTTAACAAATAATGAATATTCATAAATTTACTACAGCATGAATATTTTACATTTCAATGAGGTAGACTTGAATGAAATATACATATTAGAGTCTAAGATAATAGCAACAGCATCGTTTGATTAACTTTTATACAACTTGCTTAAATAGTAATACCCCTCAAACTAGGCTAAAGAACAGAAATTTAATTCAAGAAATGTAATTCATTATGATTGAGAAACTTTGTAACCATTATTAACATATTCATGGCTCAACATTTTGGGCTACACCCTCCCAAATCAAATTAGGAGCCAGTTCTATTTGTATGAATAAGAAAATCTTGGTATTAGAAATAATATATTGAACTAAGCAGAAATAATATGTCTAATATTAAATATTATATAATTTTATTACAATTACAAGTTCTGAAAATATAATAACTGTATTTTAAAACAAAGAATAAAAAAAGTCATAAACTGTTTTGATTTTGAAAACATAATTAACAATAAACAACCAAAACAACAAAGCCATTATCTGTTTATGAGGCAAATTTGTTATTTGTACCTGAAGATCGGTGACGAGGATTTCATTCTTTTTTATTTGTAGTGAACAGTGATTCCGTGATATAACCAAACTTGATAGGGTTATAGTATTTTGAATTCCTCTTCCGATTGTCACGACTTCTCCTTCCCTTAAAGTAAATTCTTCTGTACCATACGTTTGTCGTTTTAACTTCCACTTAGCCATGTTGCTTATATGAAACGTTAACAAAGTAACCAATTATAAATAATTTACACCTGCATATTTAACAAAAACGATTCTTTGCTTAAAAAAATATTGTCGTTGCCGGGAAAAACGAACATATCGTTAAATTCTTTGATTTTCGACTGACATTGACATTATCAATCGTCCCTTCTGACAGCTGTCATGCAGCTAATTAGACATAGACATGGACTTAGTCTTTAAGCGGGACAAAGTACTTTCAGATGAAAAGCGGGCCGAGCGAGTAATCAAGTACAGAGGCTATTTCTCCCTTTCTAGTAGGACGACAATAATATTTTAATTAAGTGTGACTTTTCATAGTTCAGTTTTTTAACAACTGCGGCTATTATCGTACACAATAATCTTGCTAAACTTTTTTATAGGCTTTTCGTGCAATTTGATATCGACAAGCGATAATGTATATGGAGAATTGCAAGTGTTTGTTTTCTTTTGAGATTGCACAATTTGTCAATATCAGTCACAAATCGAAGTTATTGTCTGCGGTGTCGCTTCAATTTTATGAGGACACAAACGGCCCCGTCTACTTTAGCTCAATCTCGTATGCACGGGTATATTAATATTACCAAATAATCAAAATATATCCAATTTGACGAAAAAATATGGCTATATACCTGCTATATACATAAGTGAAAAACTCGATGGTGTAGTGGTTAGCGTGTTTGATTGATTGAAGAGGTTTTTTTTTTTAAATGCCACTCAGTAGCAGGCCTTTTTTATTCTTATTTTACTCTTTCATTTCAGTTCTATCGGTCACATTATCTTTTGTACTGTCATCAAAAGAGGTTTATAGTTGGTTAGTTAAATAAAAGAACTTACAATCTTAGGAGCCAAATAATTATCGCAACCATCTTGAGCAGAGAGAGAGCGAGAGAGAGCCAGAACCAGTGTTGCCAACACTACATCTTTTATGCTGCATACTTTGTCTTTCTTTCTTTCCTCCTCTTTCACCATCGAGCAAGTGGGATTGCTACATCTATCTAATCATTTCCTATTCTATTTTTATTTATTTTCTTATTTAATTAATTGTATACCAGGGGTTTTTTATTTACTTTTTGTTTTACATTTCTAGTTATATCTATTACATTTTATTTGTTTCTATTTTATTTTGATTTTACATTCTGTATTTGTTTGTTTATACATTATGCTTTCTTTTATTTCTGTCCTACATTTCTGCTTATATTTACTTATATTACTTATTTCTATTGGTTTTAACCTTTTTCCCTTTTTGTTCCTAAATTTTTTACTTTGTTATATCTATTTCATTTTTATTATTGTAAAAGATGGAAAAATGAAAACGACTATTTGATCCAGAGCATACGGAAAGCTGTCGTTGCGGTCGCGGTGTAGAAGCTACTGGAATAAAGGCGGGACGTATGAGCGCGATGTGTGTACCGCAATCGACAGCCACCCGCATTGACTTTATTATAAAAATCAAAGGCAGAGGGTACAAATGGATACATAAATTATTATCTATAACATATAGGTAAATTAAAAATAATTAACGTAAAACTAAGACAAATTACATAATTTATTGAGTGTGTATGCGTCGCCTACAATTATTCTAATTTACTTTTCTTATTTCTATACATTATTTGGTTATTTTATGTTGTCTAATTTGGTGTTTTCCTATTAATATAGTTGTTCTTATTTTGTTTGATTCACTTTTACTATATGCGATCATATATTAGGCCCTTACACATGAAATTGGCGTTTTGTCGTACTGGCCACTTTAATTAAAAATTCCTCCTCTTTGGTTGGGATTTCTAAATTGTGTGGATTCTCTGCGATAATTGGAAGCTTTTATTGCCATGGTTGGATGCCAGCCAAATTCCTGCCCCAAGCGAAAATTGACCACAAAAAAGTTACTTGTAAGTGTTTGGGGGTCTAATGCCGGTGTCGTCCATTACAGTTTTCTCAAATCTGGCCAGACGATTAGCGCAGACGTCTATTGTCAGCAATGGCAAACCACGCTGGAAAAAGTAGCTGTTAAACAACCGAGGCTGGTCAAAAGCCACTGCCACTACTACTTTACGACAACACTAGATCACACACTGCACAACAGACGGCTACCAAATTAGAAGAGCTTCAATTAGAATTGCTATACAGCTTGCTATAACAGATTACTATTTTTTTCGAAATTTGGATAACTTCTTAAAAAAGGAAATAATTCAACTCCAATGGGGCATAGCAAATCGTCTTCAAAGATTTTATTGACTCCGTCCGAATTGTTTATTTAGTAAGGGGATCAATGAACTGCTACCTATGAGATGGCAAAAGTGCATAGATAACAATGGTTCATACTTTGATTAAATAAATATATTATATTAAAAATATTCGACTTTTTGTTCCTCCCATACCAAACACCAATTTCATATGCAAGACCTAATATTTTCGTGATTCTTACTTGTACTGGTATTTTGTTTTCTGTTTCGATTGAAGAGGTTAAGTGACGATCACAAAGGCCGGTGGTCAAAACTTTTATCGGAATGATTTAGGACGATCATTGTTGGGGTCTTGAAGAGTGTAGTTGATTTGTTTTAATTTAATTTAAGTTTGGATTAAGTTTAATATAGTTCAAGTTAAACACTGTACTGCGTAAATAAAATTTATTTACGTTAGCAGATACATTAGTTGATCAAGTATAAATTACAACTAACTTTAATGTCGATACATATTATGTATTTAGATTATTGACCGCGCGCCAAAGTAGGTTGCACGATCAGCAATATCATATAACCACGTTGTCCCAGTACAAATTACTGGATAGATTGATTTTATCCGTTACGACTACCCGTGCTTTAGCACCAGCAATCCACATTGGGATCTCCACATGGACTTCCAATTCAAAACTTCCAATGTCCACTGATATAACTAATTTATTTGACATTTTACTTCATGACAAAAAAGGATTAAACATTTGCCACCAGCCAAGGATGAATAAGTCCTTACAATTATGAATCTATTGGCAATAAACATAACTTGGTAATGGACCTTTTGGAAATCTTATTACTACACTTCATAGTAACAACACGGACTATTTCGTCGTTACCCGGATGAGTTTGTATTACTCTACCAAGTAACCAGTTCGATGGTGGCAAACACTTATTTTTTACAATAACTAAGTCATTCATTTTAACAGAATTTTGAGGAGAGTGCCACTTATATCTATGCTACCCCCTATCTTTTCCAAAATGATTGCAACATATGTTAAATGTGTTGCCAACGATCGAGTCTGCTAATAGGAACATTAGTTACATTCTCATGAGGAACTACACTTGGTGGACCTAACATTAAAAAGTGACCAGGGGTTAGCGCTGTGTGATCATCAACCTAGTTACTTAAAGCAGAAAAAGGTCGGGAATTCAGACAACACTCTATTTGTGTTAAAGGAGTGGTATACTCTACAAACGTGAGTTTTATATTTCCTAAAACACGATTGATATGATCTTTAGTTGAACGCACTCTCGCTTCCCACAGGCCTCCGAAATAAGATGAACCTGGGGGTATAAAGTGTCATTCGGTCCCCTCCAATATCTCACCCAACTCTACTGTCAATGAAGATTTTGCTTTAATTAACATTTTCTTAACTTCAAAAATTCGCCAACTTCAAAAATAACGTCGAGAAGTAAACCTTTTAAAAGCTATAATGAAAGCCTTGTTAATAACTCTGAAACTAATTCCAAATGTATAGATTTGGTTGAAGTACAAATGAAGATTGAGTGACTCGAACTGATGGCTAGTTCCGCATCAATTGAGTAGCAAATCTAGGTGCATATCTTACGCAAGCAACACATTTCTTGACACGTAACTTAACAAGCGATTTTACGTTTGTAATCCAGTAAGTACATCTAATAATATTTAACATAAGTAGTGGCCCTCCATGCAACAATTTCTTATGAATGAAATCAATAATTACTCGTAGTTTAGCCAATTGTGATTTGCCAGAAATTATAATAGGATGCTTTGCATCACGAGAAATACAAGCATTTTTTAATCTACCACTCTTAATATATTATGATCATTAATAAATGGACATAAAAAATATACAATGAACTTTTCTTCGAAATAGTTTCATCGTTCGATAGTTCATTAAATTCTTTTTGAAAATAATAATTTTACGAAATCTTAATACAACAATTAATGGACTGTATTAATTCATTGGTCGTTAAGTAAATTGGAAATTCATCAAGCAAATTAAGATTACTTAAATTCATTTTGTTTATCAGACATTTTTTACATATACCGGGTTCGATTCCCGGTCGGGTTAATGTAGAAAATGAACTTTTCTATATTGTCTCGGGTCTGGGTGTTGTGTGATCTTCGTTGTCTCAGATACTCCATAATACGGGGGATTTAGCTACTCATCTTGGAATCTGAGCAATGTATGTGATGTTGTTAAATATTTATTATATACATATTAATAAATCTCAAACAATAAGCTTGAACTCCCTTAGTTTTGTTAAACTAGAATATCTGTGTAAAATAAACTCTTCTTCTAGTTCATTAACATTTAAACACCGTCACTTGGTCCTATTTTGCACCAAAATTTGCTCCAACTGTTTTATTGAGTTCACATTTTTTAAAATATCGAGTCACATTTTTTAATTTTTTAGAGTCTTGATCAATCATCTGATGTATTGTATGAACTATAAGACTATTAAAAATTGACATATTTTAAGGAGATTGGTGTGTTTTCTGAACACTTTTATTTTTATTTTTCTTTGGAGCAAAGTAGTTCTTATGTAGAAGGTAACTTTGCTCCTCAATTATTTTTCGTATGTTTTTCATGTCTTTTGTCAATAGAGCAAAGTTTTGTGTTAACATTTTTATCTTGCTCCAATATAAAAGGCAATAAAAATGTGAAGTATTATAAAATTACCTTTATTCATTAGATATCGATCAAAATAATCACAGTTTGGTTTGACCATGGGAACATTTTTTCCTTAATTATTATTAAACTAATCAACATAAACACTTCGTAAATCTGTAAAAATCAACAATATTAAAGTTTAATTAACATTAAACTTGGTAGAAAAGATTAAGTATTAGAATAATCAACAAAAAAAAAAAATAAACAAAGTTTTCCAAGCTTATGTGCCCCATAATAGG